TTTACATTATTATTGAATTATTGATACTTTTTTCTGTGTTCCGAAAACTTCATTACTTCATTAACTGCCGTCAGGAGTGTAAATTTATTGAAACGTATTTGGGCATTCGGTAAAATTTACGTAAAACCAAAAGACATTGCTCAGTCCAAAATGGCTACCTACCCATAGCGTCCATCGGTGTTAAAATTATCACCTCTTGAAAAATGGTTGTTTGTGCTGTAAAATTGTGTAGAAACTACACAGGAAAGAATATCAAACATCCAGAAGGCATTTCCTTTCATCGGTAAGCGAAAATAGTTCTTAATATGTGGTAAAGTATGTCTATAATTCATTGTTTACCTAGGTATACAATGTGTACAAAAACTTAATATTTGTTTTTTGGTGTTTTTTGACTGAAAGTTTCATACTTAACCATTGGTTTTTGGGTTTTATTGAACAATTGATTACTTACATCTGGTATAATACGTATACTTTCTTATTTAATTATTTATTTAATGATTATGTTTCGAACTCACTTCACCGGAGTTGTCAGGCTGCAGACAACTGGTGTTGAACGTTTGAAGGCCTTGATTAAAGCCTACAGTGCTTGACAATGTAGATAAGCTCTTGCACTCGGCAGGAATGGCATCGGAAAGCGTTACCTGACTGTAACAAGACATTGGTAATTAAATTACCACAATTCTAACGTCAAACATCGACAAAACAGAGACTAGAACTCTGTCATAAAGCCAATGAGACTCTTCTGCACCACCTTAGTCATTACTTCCATTTAGTGGACATTCTATACAATACTTCAATCATTCATACCTATTTTTGCTGCCAAGCAGTAATGTTAGCATTACTGTGTTATGAGACTTATCAACTTATGTCTCAGGGTGATGAGGGCAGTAGCAGTTTCCCTCAAATCTTTGCGTTTTAAAGCTCTAAGTGGCACTGCAACTGTTATGGAAAGGTGTGTCCCTTACCACCAGGCAATTGACTTGTTCATCCCTTCACTGAGTATTATAAAAGAAAGTCCATTGTTCATCCAACTGCGAGGCACAGGTTCATTGGAATTGTCAGTTTTATGAGTTCATACATACATAACCTACCTTTGGAACTATGTCTGTTAAAAATACAAAGATGAGAGAAGATCAAATATGCCTGTCATTTACTAATATACCTGATATATATACCTGAATAAAAATTTATTTCCATACTAGTAGACAACTGAAAGTAGGGAAAAAGAAGGTGATTAGGTGGTAATACACTGTACTAATGGGCCCACTGAAAATCAGCATCACAGCCTTTTCTCGGAGGTGACAATAGCTGAGTGGGATCCTGTTACATACGCCACATTCATTTTCGCTTTGTTGTTGTGTATGATTTTATTTTTATTCCTTTTTTTCCAGTTATTTTAATTTTAATTTTTTGTTTTAATGTAGCTTCATCTTTTTTTTATCTTCATTTTATTACTGTGTATATTTTTGTTGTGGCGTAGTAATAAAAGATTTCTATTCTATTCTATTCGAATATTTCAGCTTCCCAACGGACAAGGACCAAAAGGAAGAATGGATTCGAGCCATCCGCCGTGAGCCCACCTGGGCACCTGGTACACACTGCCGTATTTGTTCCGTACACTTTGACAATTCTGACTTTAAGATATCAGAAACTGGCAGAAGAATACTGCATAAAGATGCAATTCCTACAAAGAATTTGTATTTGGAGGAGCGCAGTGACATGAGTTTTAAACCGAGAGTGAAAAAGAGTAAGTTCTTTGTGTTTTACGTGCATTGTGGATGGCCTTGGACAGTCACACCAGTTACCTGGTTGCAACATGGGCACTGCCAATAAAGGCAGGCTGTAACTTAGAATTGATAGAAGACAGGTTTTTTAATGGCTACTATGGCAGATGTAACCTAAGAACTCGACACCACAGTAGTTGAGTGGCTTGCACAACGGTTTTCATGATGTAGCCATCTCTGAGGTCCCAGGTTCGATCCCCAGCTGGGTCAGTATACTAAACTTACTTTTCGGGGTCTGGGTGTTTGTGGTACTGTCATTGTTTCCAGTTTCCATAACACAATTGCTTTAGCCATTTACTTTGGTATTAGAGAACTGTATGTGCTGTTGCCTATCAATAACTTATTAACCTAATCAACAACTTTGGGTGTCACTATATGGAACACACTCTAGTCTGACCAGAAGTAATGTCCTCTTTTAACACACTCAACATAGCCCCGCACTAGGGAAACCCGGTGTCGCGGGTGCTTTGGACACCACACATATAGACAACCACATATTATACCCAAACTCACGAGAGAAATAAATGTACAAATATTTCTCCCGGGAATCGAACCTGTGACTTCTGTGTGGCAGTCGGGCATGGTAACTGTTCGGATATGGATGCAGTTGTTTGTTGTGTGGTGGTTGGTATGGTGCGTTGAATTGTTATATACTTTTTTGATGATGATGTCTCATAAGTTTTTGGAGTACACAAAACAGTGTACTCCAAAAACCCAATAAAGTCACCACCTATGAGCTAATAAATTGTTGAGACCAACATGAGAGCCTAAACAAGGCGGTTCAACTGTTAGTAGTTGAGGAGTGTGTGTATTCTGCATACTGCCCTGTTTGCAGCATCAGATGAGGGTTATCATATTATTGTAATCAGATTTCTATAGTATACCAAATTTAAGAGAGATCTCTACTCTAATTGGGAAAAGATCTGATGAATCTTAAACAGCTGAGCAGATGTTCTTCAGACAGTTAAAAGTATCCCAATTAAAGGAAAATGAATAAAGCGGTCCTGTGCTGGGTTCAAAGCCACCCTGATGTCGAGGGTAATGAGGCTCAAGATGTACTGGCAAAGGCGGGTGCTAGGTAAACCTTTATTGGACCTAAACCCTTTATAGGGATAGCATAAAGCCTGGCAAAGCTCACTCTGCTGGTCGAGAGCACATATATTTCCCGAGAAGTGCTGCTACAGAGCAAGGGTCTTGAGCAACAGAAACTCTGATAGCTGCCTATAGTGGCAAACAATCTAGAGAAGCTCTGTTATTGGTCAGGAATGGCATCTGAATGCTCACTAGAGTCTTAATTAGTGCATTGTGGTTTGAACAAGCACATGTCAATTATTGGGCAGAGAAAGAATAGAGAGTTATTAGTGGAGATTACAATATACCATATAATAATAGATGGAAGATGGTCACAGTGATGAGGGGCTGCATATGCCCCAAATGAAGCCACTCTAATAATAATAGTCCCATTTAAATTAGCCTTGAAATAAACAATAACTATTTTGAGATCATTCTAATACCACAGCCAAAGGCTTGAATTGCATAAGTTCTTTTCTTCATTTTTGAATCAGGGGTGAAAAATAAATTGTAATTGTTTGATTTCAGTCCGTAAAATAAAACCTGCTACATCATGCAAAGACGACCACCTACTGGCCTGCAGGACCTGTCTTGCCACGGATACTGCGTTATTTGAACTGCATGAAAATCACCTTGTGGACACTCTTGCGAGGATCACGGATATTGTTGTAAGTTATTTTAAGAGTTATGAATGTTCCGCCACTTCAATGTGCCGCTGTTTAACTGGAACCCCAGTCTGAAGTTCAGACAGTCAAATCTGTTGCAGAAATAATTTTTCGATAATTAAACTTCACAATTATTTTATAGTGTCTATGGTATTACTTATTTTCCGCTTAATTATGTTGCACCAATACACCTGCATCACATACTTTTAAAAAAAGAAGCAAAATTTGTCTCGTAAAACTCGTTTTACATTTTTAATTATTCATTCTCCTTCGTTCTTTAGTCTTTTATTATTATTTCCTAGCATTGTTTGAGAAAGGCATTACATATACCTCGGCGGGAACGAGGATTACCTGACTCGACCGTTTGTAGGCTTAAAAACCAAAAATAAAACCTTAATTCACTATTCCAGGTGTCTCCGGCTGACGGACTTCCTCAGCACCTCTGTAGCATTTGCATGACTTTACTCATGAAGTGTTCATATTTTAAAATGCGATGCCACGACGCAAAAGAGCTGCTGGAACAAGCTGTGGCACAAGGAGAAGTGGTAAGTTGAAAATAGCAGCATTCTGCTTATTTTTATTACCATCCCATATACACCCTTGATAAGTACAAGTCTCTTCTATGTATAGTCTGTTCTAATCCATTTTAGACGTAAAGTAAACAAACCGGTTTGGTTGCAATTCTATAGCAATCACTCAATAAATCGAGTAAGTAACTCGTTCATATATATTTCGTAGATGTGATATCTCATCATTTTTCCAACAATATTCATTTGAATAACATTATAAAGTCGCATTTGAAAAATAGTAGTTAAAAAGTGAGGCTATGTTTTAATTATAGAGGTATGAATAGTCTATGGTTGTATAGTGCTGTATGGAAAAAACATTCAGTTCATTCAATTAAAGTTTTTGTAATCGATTAGTAAATCGAAAATTTCGAGCGCAATTGAACGAGTATCAAGTGTAAGGATTTCAAGGAGGACTTAAATTTCGAATTTCGGAAATTTCAGATATGCTTTTGTAGGTTATGTAAGGAAAACCATTAGTATGATTCAATTAAACAAATCGATTCATGGTCGGGTCAGTGACTTGTTTGTTTACTTTTTATGCAAAATGGATTAAAACTGGAAGTGAAGACGTCTGAGGGTCTAATATTGCCTCCGTGGCTGATCGGTTACTACCACGCAGAGGTCCCAGGTTCGATTCCCGGACCGGGAGAAATATTTGCATGGCCTACATTTATTTCTCTCGTGAGTTTGGGTAGAATTTGGGGTTGTCTATGTTTGTATCTATGGCACCCGCGACACAGGGTTTCCCTAGTGCGGAGCTATGTTGAGTGTGTGCGTTATTATTATGTTTATTTTAATCTCTCGCCTCTCCCATGGCCTAAAATATTAATTTTGTATTTTTAAATGGGAGAATAGTATAGAGTGTAGACTCTGCCACGAGGCGGATGCAACTAATCTTCATTATCTTCCCACCCAGTGCTTCTTTTTTTACGCAACTACAGTCACAGATACCACCATCATTTGTTATTATTATTATTACTTCAATTTTTTATTGCATTAACCATAATGTTACATAGGATAAAAAATTGTTATAACTGATTAAAGTTCTTTCGATTCGACTGGACGCGAACCAGCGTCTTCCAGTAAACCGTGCTAGACGCTATGCTAAATAAGCCACGGTACGAACTAGCGGACTTTACGAATTTTTCTATGTGCTTGTTGCAGTTTTGTTTATTTTTAACGACTTTTTTGCCTTAGTGCCATCTGTCATATCTGTTTACAGATAACCACTTCCTATCTCCGAACGATCGACCGTCGCTCTCACCATCTCATATTACCGCTCACTACCAAACGGCTGCCAAATATCAACTATGTTGACGATGTGGCAGAACCGACAACACTGACAGACAGACTAGCAGATACATTAACAGATCTCAACGAAATGAATGTAACAGATTGTGTGGTATTGGAGCCTGTGAAGCGGTTAGCAGAAGATTTTGATAATGGAGTGGATATTTCCGATTTATCAGAGGTAAGAGGTGATATGTGTTATCGCTAAATAAAATCCAACTCTGATTTATTTCTAAGTTTACTATCGGATCAAGACTGAGCTGCTCGGCCTTACCATGGGTCTTTTATAGCTTTCTTTCAGGTTGTAGTGTGAAGTTAGGTACGAATACCATGGAGGGATCTATATTGGTACTAAAATAGTCAATAGAATAACTAAATAGATAAAGTGTAACTATACTTCTTTTCAATTCAATTTGAACAAAATGTAAACAAACAAGTTACTGATTCGACCATAGACGGTTTAGTGATGGCCAATTGTAATGCCAACTACAAATCGATTAATTAATTGAATGAACCGATTTGTTCAATTGAGTCTTACTAGAGGCTTTCCCTACATAACCTGTTTAAATCGCGTATATTTGTTTTTTCAAACAAACCGACGTTTCGGGCCCTTCACGGGTCCCTATAAAGCATATTATAATGTTCCGAAATTTTAATTTTAATTCTTCCTTCAAATCGTTAAAATTAGTTAGATACTAGTTCGATTGCGATTGAAATTTTCGATTTAAAAATCGATTACAAAATCTTTAATGGAATGAACCGAATGTTTCTTTCGGACACACAATCGCAACTACAGTCACAGACACCAACACCAAAAAGGTTTTTTTATAATATCGAGTGACGAGAACGAGTGCGCCTGATTGTAAGAGACACGCCTGTCTATAACAGTTGCAGTGTCACTTAGAGCTTTATATCGCAAACAAACCGGAACGCAGTAATTGCTCGCATTACTTAATACTTGGCGGCAGAAATAGGTAAGACCTCTACTGCTACTTAATTTTCCCGTTAAATTAACCCTTTTGTAAACTGTCACTTCGCCCGCACCGTGCAGCTACCCCAGGACCGACTTAGTTAAGCGGTAGGTTTGTAATAATGATAATTATTTTCAGGTAAAAGAAGAAACAGATTATTTTGACATGCAAACAAACAACGTTATGTCAACTGACGACGACACGTACGACGCGTTTGACGACACACCCTTAATACAACACAAACAACAGCAATGCATGAACAACATAAAAACCGAATACGACGCGGCACTCTTTCCGACGGACGTCAAAGATGAGTTTGAGAAAAAGAAGCGAAAAAAAAGAAAAAGGGAAGAGAGGGATGTGAAAAAGAAAAAGATTAAAAAGGAAAAGGTAGAGGTTATATACATTGACTTACAATTATATGGACGTCGGGTCCGCGCTAAAAAGTGTCCGAACTTATAGGGCGTTAAAATCGTATACAGAGCGTCATTCACGCTTTAGTCTTCGTTTGTTCGACTGACAGCGAAGCAAGCTAAATTAGACAGTACTGCGATGACATTACAATTTAAATTCAACGTTTTAGCTTTTTAATATTCCTTTACATGTCACTACGTTTAAATAGATTGACTTGGGACATTTTTTCGTGGTTTTTGTATTAGACCCGTCGTCTATTTATTTGTAAGTCAATGGTTATATAATAATAACACACTCATAGCCCCGCACTAGGGAAACCCTGTATTGTGACTGCCACACACACATAGACAACCAAAAATTATTCCCTCAACTCGCGAGAAAAAAAATGTAATTGTTGGAAATAAATTTTTCCGGATTTAAATCGGTTGACTGACCAACCGTGACCATGGGACCTGTAAAGCGCCCGAAACGTTGGTTTGTTTGAAAAAACAAATATACGCGATTTAAATCCGGAAAAATAGTTTCATTTCCTATGTGTAACAATCGCGAAAACCTAAGAACTCGATAAATGTAATTGTTGCATGTTATGTTACCAAAAATCATGTATGTACGTGACTCTAGAGTTTGCCGCGAGTGGAACGCGTGCGGTTCGTAGGGAGCCGACAATAATGAGTACCTTGATTCTAGCGTGCGTTCTGCTTAATTTAAAACAAGAAGGAAAATGCACGCGTGTACACGTGAAACACTCTTCAGACTGTATCTGTCACGTTAGGGCGCGTTCCCATTATGTCGTGATGACAGATAGTCATGCAGTTTAAAGTGTCGTGATTTGTATATTTAAATGAAGCTGTTCACATATAGTACAACATAATTCACTGTCGTTCACGACTTTTTTCGACGTTAGGGCGCGTTCCCACTATGTCGTATCATTTTGTTAAAGTAACGACTATCTGTCGTGTACGTTTATTTTATCGTTCAACAACTGTCGTGTCTAGCTGATCCCACTAGATCATGACGAGAACTTATAGGTTTATATGAACAATTTCATTTAAATATACAAGCCACGACACTTTAAACTGCACGACTATCTGTCATCACGACATAATGAAAACAGCGCCCTTACAGCACGCTAATGAGTACCCGGCGTAATAACATGAACAATGAATAATTTCAGCTCAAAGAAGACATTAGGAACACAAAACCTCGTAAAACAGAAGAAGATTACGAAAGATTCTCAACTGAATACAATGTAGATATTATATTCTTAACCAAGGAAGAACAGATCAACGAAGTAATTGCAAGAAGGGAGAGTGACAATTACAAGAATTCAAGGTTCAAATGTGAGCTCTGCTTCAAGGGGTTCACTGGCGAAGCCGCGTTTAGAAATCACAAGGGAATACATGACCCGGTAAGTTAATAGTATTTCTCATCACACTTGCTCGTGAATAGTATGACTGCATGGTGGCTAACTTGGCTATAATGCCCTAAATAAGAACCACAAGCCTTTTTTCTTTCCATTACAGCCATGGTGTGATATGTCACACCTATGGGTCAGGTTCAACTTCAAGCAAGGATTTACTTAAGTAAAGTTCAAAATTAAAACATTCGTTTAAAATGTTGTCTAAACAGAAATTTAATTATAATTCAGCCACATACTACTTAAATTTTTATTATGAAGAATTTAAATTATTTCATTTTAATAATTTTGAACCGACTTGAAAAAAAGGAGGTCTCAATTCGTTTTTATGTTTGTATGTTACGCAACAACTCCGCCATTTGTGAACCGATTTTAATGATTCTTTTTTTGTCGAAAAGAGGGTACCTCAGAAGTGGTCCCATTTAAATTTGAAAAAAATATTCCACCTCTAAGGGTGGAAAACTAGGGGATGAATGACTTTTGAGGTCGGTTTTTTTAACCGTTGGTTAGGTTATCTATATAAAAGTTTTGCTATTTTTTTACAATCCATTTTAGTTCGAGTTGAATAAAAAAAATGAAATATCCCCGCCATTTTCAAAATCCATAATTGTTGTGTTGTGAACCATATTTATATTCTATTTATTTCCTCGCAAATGTGATGAAAAACTTTGTATGTATCACGGACGGTAAAAAATGCAAAACTCGCGTTATTAAAGCCCTCAGCCTTCGGCTTCAGGCTTCTAATAGGCCCTCGTTAGTGATTTCTTATTTATTATGCACAATGTACTATTATGCAATCGTTGCATAATGGGTTTTCTTAAAGTTCTAGTACTACGAAATTTGAAGACTTCATTATGTAATACAACATTTTTACCACAACTTAATTTAATTAAAAAACAACCAATATTTAAAAATTATTTTATTTGTAAAAATATACAAACAAGTAAATGTATATTGTTTTTAAATAGCTTCTTTTTGCCAATTGGTTACGTCTTTGTACCTGTTATGTAACAATTGGAGATATTATTTAATAAAATAATTTGAATTTTAATAATTTCACAAATAAAATTACCTTATTCTGTTCAGGAACACCGTGACACGTTCAACGAGACTGTTTTGATTTGAAAAAAGTATACGTTCTTTTTTTGAAACTCATAGTTCTTTGTACAGAACGTAAACTTTGCCGCTGCAATGTGGTAGCTTCTTTTTTGGAGAACTAAATAACATCTCGAAGTCGTCGTCGTTCAGCCATTGACCGCTAGATGGCAGCACATTGATTGATTGATCAGTATAAAATCAAAACGTCGTAACTTGCAATAATAGTTATTGAACTTTCAACAATATGCCAACGGGGTAAAGTTTAAATTATATTAACAGTTCAGAATTGTTATTTATTTTTATATCTGATACTACGACCAATCGTGATCTATAACACAAGTTTTACCCAGCTTGGACACCAGTCTCCCATTGTAGCATTATTTATTATTTGTACATTTTTGTTTATAATATCAAGTGACGGGACGAACAAGTCGTACGCCTGATGGTAAGCTACACGCCTGTCCATAACAGTTGCAGTGCCATTCAGATCTTTAAATCACAAACACATAAGTTGACAAGTCCCATGTGTCAGTAATTCCACCAGCACCTTTACCCTTCAAAACCGGAACACAGTAATGCTAACATTACTGTTTGACGGCAGAAATAGTTAAGGAAGTACTTCTCTGGACGAACCTTTTCACGTGGAAATCCATTGCTACTGTCTGTGAATATATTCTGTTTGTTCTAGAGCGTAGGCAGTTACGAATGCGAGGCGTGTAAATTCCGGTTCCCAAAACGCTACAAGTTATTGCACCATTTAACGCAGCACAAAATGAACTTCGTTTGTCGACTATGTGGACACACCAGCAAACTCCCGTGAGTATATTGAATAAAAATAATTACAGGTATTACACAAGATACACACAAAAGGAATTAAGAACCTTCTCATTAAATTTTTATTGAATTGATATTCAATTATTTTTTGTGAAATTACTCCACTAGTTTGCTATAATTATTAATTCAAAGAACACTCAAAAAAAATTCCTTCGATCCGGTCGGATTCGAACCGACGTCTTCTTGCATACCGTGCCAGACGCTATACCAACTAAGCCACGGAACGAACCAACGGACCTCACGAATTTCTCTATGTGCTTGCGTCGTGTCTTTGTACTTGGTCTTTCAACGACTTTCTCCCTTCAACCTTCTCATTGTTGAGGTTTTTTGTGAAATAGCTTCACTAGTTTTTTAAGGTTGCTTTTTATTACTGAGACAAATAATTACTCATTAGTTTTATTTTTGTTATATCCATTTTATTAATGAAATATTGTTTTGATTTTGACATTGATTTGATCATGACATTTTATTTTATTTAATTTTATTTTTTTATAGTATTCAGGTAAAACCAGTACAACGATCTATAACAAAACCACATAGGAGAATTTCGTCAACTCGATAACTTGACCTGTACCTCAGTTGGTACAGAGCAGCGCGACGGTGCAGCATGGTCACGGGTTCAAGTCCCATCGGGTCGACAAAATTTTTTTCTTTGTTTAAACATAACCTCCTTTTTTTTAAGTCGGTTAGTAAAATATGGTTTTCTTTCACAGATCCAAAGCGATGGAGCATTTCAAATGGCACAACGGTGTGAAATATCCGTGTCATTTCTGCGACAGAGTATTCATGTAAGTCCGCCCGTCCGTCCGTGAAAACAATTTACATTCCAATCATTGACTTACAATTATATGGACGTCGGGTCCGCGCTAAAAAGTGTCCGAACTTATAGGGCGTTAAAATCGTATACAGAGCGTCATTCACGCTTTAGTCTTCGTTTGTTCGACTAACAGCGAAGCAAGCAAAATTAGACAGTACTGCGATGACATTACAATTTAAATTCAACGTTTTAGCTTTTTCATATTCCTTTACATGTCACTACGTTTAAATAGGTTGGCTTGGGACATTTTTTTCGTGGTTTTTGTATTAGACCCGTCGTCCATTTATTTGTAAGTCAATGATTCCAATGCAATTATTGTAATTGTTTATAAGGTTGTTGAGGATAAGAAAAATTGGACCCGATTCTTATTACTGATCACTCTCAATTATTTTATATTGAAAGGTGCAGGAGACACAAAAATAAATATACATTTTTCATTAAAAAAAAAACAAGTTCCGAAGTTTGTGGAATTACATCTATTTGCCAAGTTTTATTGAAAACGGTTAACGGAAAGTGGTTGAAGTCCAATAAACCTGATATATCCACGAATTTGCTACCCTTAGAGGTGGATCATTTTCTTCAAATTTAAATGGGACCAATACCCTCTTTCCAATAAAAAAGAATCATGAAAATCGGTTCACAAATACCGGAGTTATCGCGTAACATACATAAAAAAATATGCAGTCGAATTGAGAACCTCCTCCTTTTTTTGAAGTCGGTTAAAAAGAAAGCACCAATATTTTTTAACCTGGCTTATATTAACAGTCTGTATATTTTTGTAGCAAACGCACATCACAATTCAACCACATGCGAAATCGGCACGGGTCAGCGTCATGCGACATCTGCCAAGAAATATTCTCGGGTGAGCGTGGCTTGCTCTCGCATATGCAGAAGGCACATAAAGAGGTAAACATATGCTATAGTGCGCGCGGAACTAGCTGGCCGCGCCTTAGGTAGGGACAGGGGTGAGGGGGCGGGTTGCTTGCTGCTCGCAACGCACATGAGATTAGACAGTGACGACCAATCTCGAGATATCGTGAACAATAATTGTTCAGTTATTGAAAAGAAAAAATTAAAGCCAATTGAACTTTTACAAGTTTATATTATACCTATCTAATTAATTGCAATGTACAGTCGGCAGCACATCAGGCCGCCACAAACTGTCAGATTTCCTCAATTGATTTTCAACTTAAAGTCCAGGGAATAGAGTATAAAATTGATTGGATAAATTTGACATTTATGTATTGATGGACTTGCTGTTGTCCGTACATTGCAATTAAAAGTAAAATAAACCAAAAACAAATTAAATGAAATTCTTCCGACATATTTGAATCATTTATGAAATTATTATTAATTAATTAGTGTAACTAACACGACTTTGTATTTATAGATATGAAATTACTCTGACATATTATCCTCTGAATCACTTGATTCTGAATTGTCTGAACTTGAGTCAGAATCATCTTGTAAGTTTATAATGAATTCGTCCATCACAGTATCATATCTCATATCATGATTCCAGTATTCTTGTTCGTTTTTTTGTACGTGGTCGTCGCATTTTTGCCATTGTTCGGCAGAAAATTCAGAAAATAGTCTTGTTAGTATTGTAATTTTCTCGTCCAATGTAGCATTAATGTGATCTCTGGCCAGGCAATTTTTTATATTTGCCCACACAAGCTCGATTGGGTTGAGATCTGGATGATATGGAGGTAGTCTTAGAACAGTATGACCTGCACCTTTCAGAAGTTCATCAATCGTGTATATTTTTTCTGATTGGGTCGTATTAATCAAGCCCAAGAGTTCAGCTTTGACCATCGTGGGAGAAAAGGGCACGTTATGATTTTGCAACCAATTCTGCATATTAATTTTCATACAGGACATAGTCGGTTTCTTCTCAACTTGCACACAGTGGTAAGCTGCATTGTCCATAACTATGACTGAGTTAGGTGGAAGTTTAGGTATTAACTTTCGATCAACCCAGTTGTAAAAATTTGTAGAGTTCATGTCTCCATGATAGTCTCCTGTTTTTGAATCTGATTTAAAAATTAGCAGAGCATCGTCAACTAACCCGTTCCGACTACCAGCGTGAACTATTATTAAACGCCTTCCTTTGCCTATATCTGCATAAACACCAGGCTCCGACGAAGATTGCCAACATTTTTGGACATTATGACTTTGGTTAACGTAAGTTTCGTCCAAAAAGAATATATTTCGTTTGTCTTCTCTGAATTTTCTTATGGCCCTCAAATATTTCACTCGCCATTCAACAATGTTTGGTCTCTCTAATAAAAGGGATCTCTTCTTTTATCTCTTTTGGCCTTCGTGGAGAACTAAATTTTGCTTCCCCTGTATTTTGCAAGGATGTTTTACTTTGAGCAATCACTCTCCTTACACTTCGTTCTGATATCCCGGTTGCTTCTGCCACTAATTTATGAATATTCGCATCAGTTTTATATTCTAAACTATTGACATCGGCTTTCCGTTTTTTAAAAAACGTATGCACTTTAAATATTATTTCCTTAGATTGTCTTTTTATCGGCGGACTCATCTTGACATTGCAATCTCTTGTGCGTTTTGTCTAAACTAGCCAGAACTGTCAACGTGTGTTGCCGCCGCGAAGTCCGGCGCCGAACTGAGTATTCTGAGTAATGACATCAAGTGCCCCCGCCTCCCCGTCCCACCGCTCACATACCTAAGGCGCGGCCAGCTAGTTCCGCGCGCACTATAGTGTTCCGTGTCTTTCGTTCTATTGTTAAACACGAAGCGATGTCATGCGACATCTGCTAAGAAATACAGAGTTGCTCTTGCATATGCTAAAAGTACATGAAGAGGTAAGCATATGCTAGTTAGTGCACTGTAACAGTAACACTGTTAAGGACATATCTACATATCTAGCGAAAATTACGTCGCCGAATTACGCGCCTAGACGTCGAGTTGCGGACACCAGCCCGTCGCACAGATTTTGCATGAATATCAAAACCGGTACATTGTAAATTCAACCTTATTGGCATGCATTTTGAGTTAACGCACAGCTATCATTTTCCTACTTCATCGAGTTAAGAATCGTAGTAACTCGTCGATTTAAGCGTGAAGCACACAGAGAGTGAGTCTGCGGCGGGTCTAATTCCGTGTATTTATTGATATAAATATATCGAGCGCGAGACTATGGGTTATCGTCCCATATATATATAAGGAATATGACCCGCTACGGACCCGACTCCACCCGACCCGACCCGCACCGACTCTGTGTGCTTCACGCTTAAATCGACGAGTTACTACGATTATTTTAACCATTGAGTTTACCTAATCGTTTAAGTGTTTTCAGGCAGTGAAATCACGCTGTGAATTATGCAACGTGCAGTTCCACACGGAAATGGCTTTGAATAGACATTATGAGTCCGCGCCTGGCGGTTGCGGGCCGCACGTCAAGTGAGTATGCGTATGCGCATAGATCCCCTCTAATAGCAATAATAATGAAAAAAAAAACTCAATAATTTTTCTTCCACTAGGTTACAATTGCTTTAAGTATTGTACATTTTAACAATTATGAATTTTTTATAAAAATTAACATTACATCTATTTTGCCTCTGTGGCCGGATTCGATCCCAGATTCGATTCCCGGGTCGGGAGAAACTTTCTCTTGTGAGTTTGGGTATAATTTGTGTTGCCTATGTGAGTGTCCATGGCACCTGCGACACAGGGTTTCCCTAGTGCGGGGCTATGTTGAGTGTGTGCGTTATTATTATTTGCCAAGTTTTATTGAAACCGGTTAACGGAAAGCGGGTGATGTCCAATAAACCGTATTCATCCCCTAATTTCCCACTCTTAGAGGTGGAATATTTTCTTCAAATTTCAATGGGACCACTACTGAGGCGCCCTCTTCCCAACAAAAAAAGAACCATCGAAATCGGTTCATAAATGTCGAGGTAATTGCGTAACATACGTGGTAAAAAACACAGTCGAATTGAGAACTTTTTCCTTTTTTGATGCCAGGCCCCTTCGACGACTCACGCTTGTTGAGGATTATTTGGGACTGTAGTGAAAATGCCTGGTTGTGAATTCTTCTTGAGCTTCTTTGTCTTGCTTGGATCGCGGTCAGATTTGGAATGCCGTCCAGTAGGACAGTGGCAGTGGCCAACGCTCCGTCTTTTACATTGTTGACCTGCCTTTTTTTTCTGAAGCATATTTTGCAGTTGGCCGCTGATGGCCTTGACTGCGCCACCGGATTAAAGGGCGAGCTGAAATCTCAATAACCCGTAAAATAAACTTAAAACTAAGTAGCGGGCCCGAGGGCGCCCAAGTGGGCACGGACCTCAACTCAGGGCGGTGCTGTGAGTGTGAAATGAGGGGCTCTACGACCTCGCCGGCGAGGGCGGTTGATGTGTGAGGAGATGGAGGACTGATATGCGACCTGGTTGGCCTTCAAAGTGGCGAGAGTGATATGGTCGTTGAGGACTTCCCTTGGCCGACGTGTCCTACGTAGTACGTACGCGGTGGGGGTGTTCCCTGAGGGGGTCGTAGTTGGATGCATCCACCCCGGGGTTTGGGGTGGTGAGGAGCATAGTGGAAGTATTTCCTCGATGCCTGTTTCATGAATTGGGCTATTGTGGGGAGCGGTAAATCTATGTGGATGCCGTCCTACTGCCAACGCTCCGTCTTTTATATTGTTGGCCTGCGGGACAGCACCAATGTAGGAGCGGGACGGGAAAACTATAAATATCCCAAGCAAGACCCGCTTGTCTCTCATTTATTTACTCAAAATAGTACATAACACAATAAGAACTTATTCTATTAAGAATTACGACTAATATGTACAACAGTTAATTCCAATAGCAAATACCAATTACAATCTTATAAAATCACAACAAAACACATGGGCCCGAACACGTTTTCGTCCTTAACACAGTTAAAATACAATGACAACAAGTGGCCACGTGGTGATAATGTGCAACAGGCGGCCATATTTCTTATTAGCAATACCTTCCTATTAATATTTTGTTTTGATGGTGCAAAATTCGAAAAATTAAAACATTTTTGTTACATCTACTCTCAATAAGGAGACCAGAGCCCCAGCAGTGAGAAACAAAAGGTTGTTTACTAAATAAAAGGTACTCCCACCTAACAAAGGAGGCTCGTGCTAAGCAGTGGGAAGTACGTGTTGTTTAATAACAATTGTATTTTGACAGGGCGTGTGCGGAATGCGGAGAAAATTATCCATCGGAAGAAACTCTCAACGATCATATGAAAATGAACCATTGGAGAGAGATTAAATGCGAGAAGGTATATAATATATTAAAAAAAACTTTTATTGAATTGATATTAAATTATTTTTTATGTGAAATTACTCCATTAGTTTGTTATAATTATTAATACAAAGATCGAACTCTCAGAAAAAGATCCGGCCTTATTTGAACCGACGTCCGTGCCAGACGCTATGCCATCTAAGCCACGGAACGAACCAGCGGACCTCACGAAATTTTTCCATGTGCTTGCGTCGTATCTTTGTATTTGGTTTTTCAACGACTTTTTAGCTAGAGCGCCATCTATGAGAAATCTAAGATATTTCGTCACCCTTATTTGGTGTAGCGTCTGGTATGGTACGCTAGAAGACGTCGGTTCGAATCCGGCCGGATCGAAGGAATTTTTTCTGAGTGTTCGATCTTTGTATTAATAAGTATAAAAAAAACTTTTTTATTTATTTCATACAAATAAGGCATACAAGAATACATAATACAATTTCTCACCAAACTGCGATCATAATCAGAAAACTATAGTATACCTGTACTCTGTAGAATAAATGTCAACAAACAAAAACATATGACTCGTTCACAGTTACCACAATTTCAATATATTCCTACGAAATTCAAGTACATCATGGATAATACTAAATCTTGACGCCATGTTTATAATGAATATTGTTCAACAGAAGTTTCAAATGACCAGTAATTAATTATTTGAAAAACTGTCATCCCTATTGACATTTTGATTTGAAGGGAGAGATTGCAAATATTCGAGTTCTGTGGTAATACAAGTTCAGAATCGGAAATAGATGCTGGATGATACAATACGTGGTAAATTAATATCAAATAAAATCCTACAATTTTGTTTCTTTTCATCTACCATTACCTACCATATAACAGTAAATATTAATAGGATGCAAACTTTTATTTTTATTCCTAAATCATACGTATCAATCATTGACTTACAATTATATATAGGACGTCGGGTCCGCGCTAAAAAGTGTCCGAACTTATAGGGCGTTAAAATCGTATAAAGAGCGTCATTCACGCTTTAGTCTTCATTTGTTCGACTGACAGCGAAGCAAGCAAAATTAGACGGTATTGCGATGACATTACAATTTAAATTCAACGTTTTAGCTTTTTCATATTCCTTTACATGTCACTACGTTTAAATAGGTTGACTTGAAACATTTTTTTCGTGGTTTTTGTATTAGACCCGTCGTCCATTTATTTGTAAGTCAATGGTATCAATAGATATTTTGTAAACTTAATAATAATTGGCTAGGTAAGTATTATTGGAATCGGTTACCGGAAAGTGCGCGAAGTAGGATTCAATCTCAAGTTTTCCAATAAAAAAGAATCTTCAAAATCGGTACACAAATGCTGGAGTTATGGCGTACCGAACAGTCTATTCTGTCATGGTTTACTAGGAGACGTCGGTTCTGGCACGGTTTGCTAAGAGACATTGGTTCGAGTTCGGCCGGATCGATGGAATTTTTTCTAGGTGTTCGATCTTTCTATTTATAAAATTGTATATATATATATATAGCGTTTAACGTTTGATTTTGTTCGCAGTGTAACGCAAATTTCGAAAACGAAAAACTGTACCGCATGCATCGCGTCATACACAAGGAGACAAGGAACAGACGACCGAGAGACGCCAAGCCGAAGTCCACTAGTGGAATTGCGAGTGGCAAGCAGCGCAAGCCGAAACGACCGCCCAAAATACAGAGGCGGATGTGTGAAATGTGCGGGCTTACTTGGAGGGTGAGTATATTTATATTTTTCAATAAGGGTGTAAGGGGGCGAGATAAGGGGGGAAAGAAAGAACAGGTGGATAGATAGAACACGTTCATTGTCTTTCCACAAGCACACACGACAATATGAAATAATAAGTAACAAAAAAAAAAGAAAGAAGAAAAAAACATACAAAACAAAATAATAAAAAAGTAGGAAATCCAATAAATATACGTAATAAACAACAAATATCTGCTAGTTAATTAAAAACAACCAAACAGGCCATGGCTCAGTTTTTTGGGACACAACCGCGTGTGTCCCAAATGCTATCGCCTAGAGGGTAACGCGGTGCATCAACAGCAAAAAGGCAAAGTGTAAGTCGTGCAGTAAAATAAAAAAATTACGTCTCATATATAAACAAAAATTGCATACAAGTCGTGCAGTGTGTATTAGTATAGTTGTGTCAGTGTTAACGTGTCGGTGCGAGTGTACGGGTGTGGCGTGCATGAAATCTAAAAAACAACGAATAAAAACAAAAAAAAAATATTATTGATTGTAATGATTAATACAAAGATCGAACACTCAGAAAAAGTTCCTTCGATCCGACCGGATTCGAACCGACGTCTTCTTAGCATACCGTGCCAGACGCTAGTACATTAATAAGTAATAATTAATGATATGCTCCGTGGTTGAGTGGCTCGCATACCGGTATTCATGGTGTCGCCATCTCTGTGGTCCCGGGTTCTATCCGGGTCAGTGTAGAAAACTAACTTTTGCATATTGTCTCGGGTTTTGGGGGTTTGAGGTGTCGGCGTTGTTTGCGATTTCCATCCATAACACAAGTGCTTTAGCCCCTTTGGGATCAGAGCAACGTACATATGTGATATGTGATGATGTCTAATATTTATTTATTTATAATTATTAACAGAGTGCTGCTGCGCTGAAATATCACCAACGAGTTCACACCGGAGAGAAGCCTCATCAATGCCCTCTGTGCCCGAAGAGCTTCAGGATACAGGACTCTTTGCAGGTCCGTTTTCTGGTTACTTTATTTGTCACTTTCTGTGGAATGTTGTAAAGGTGTTGTACGGAAATATGCAGGGGGTCTACTTCCATTTTCCATCCGACAATCATCCGGAACAATTATTGTCAAATAATTAATACTCGACCATGTCAAAAGAAAAGTGTCAATAAAACTATTTTTCTGGATTTAAATCGCGTATATTTGTTTTTTCAAAGAAACCAACGTTTCGGGCCCTTTACAGGTCCCATGGTCACGGTTGACTCAGTTGTTACTCTTTGTTTGAAAACTATTCTGCCAAATCATTACGGTGACAACTACGCTCCGATTGGCCAGCCCGAATTCGAAACAATTGACGGGATTAGATGTTTTGTTATTTTTCCCACACCACCGAACGGAACAGCCCCCATTGTTAGAGATATTATCTTTATTGCAATAAATACCGAATATTTTTGTAATATACGGAGACGTACACACAGGTCAGTTGTTGGCGCTATATTATTTCAGCTTTCTAATTAGTGATTTTAGCGCAAACGAGAGACGAGAGTTGATATTTAAAAGTGATATGAGTGCTATTTGACTGATGAGTTGCCAGGGATGAATGGCCCTTATTTGTCTCTATTTCTGGTTATATACTCGATGCTGGACAGTCTCCAGACTACCCAACTTTTCAAATACTTCCAGTAAAACTATAATGTTTGGGCTCATTGAATTGGCCTCGACGAGTTGTTAGTCTACAGCTGGTGACTATTGACTTTTAGAAGTACACTGTTTTGTACAGAGGGTTTTTTAAATTTTATTTAAATTTATATCTGCTGATATGATTTTTCAGATTCACATGAACACTCACACCGGCGCGCGTCCCTTCAAATGCCCCCACTGTCCCAAGGCGTTCAAGTCGCGCACGCAGAACCACAAACATCAGTTGGTAAGTAAATTAGTGTTACCTACCATAGTGTAATGATTATGGTAAATACATATTGTGATTATCGAGTTCTTTATACATAGGAAATGGTTTTCGCGAATGTTACACATAGGATATGAACTACTTTTCCGGATTTAAATCGCTTATATTTGTTTTTTCAAACTAACCAACGTTTCGGGCCCTTTACATGTCCCATGGTCACGGTTAACATTTTGTGGTTTCTACATTTTAGAAACAACAACTGAAAAAATATCTTTCTCGTACAGGTGCATACAAAAGTCCGCCGGTACCGGTGTGATCTCTGCGACAAGACGTTCCAGACTTCCACCTGCGTCAAAACCCACATCAAAACTGTCCACATGAAGATCCCACAGCCCCCTAGGGCGAGACATCGTCCAAGACCGCCTGAAATTGACACACACCCGCTGTATATGCATAAAGTCGACGGAGTATCTATGGAGAGTCAATAGCCAAGTACTGATTTAAGGGTAACAAGCACAAACAATACAAAACTGCGTGACGAATACGAGTATGCGATTGGTGATAAAAGATAGACATTGAAGATAAAGACAACATAGACAAAAGACACAAATTCTTGACAATAGATGTAAATTTGGTCATAAAACACCAATTAGGGATAACAGATACAAATTTGGGACAAAAAATAAAAAATTGGTGATATAAAATACACAAATTGGGGACAACACACAAAAGTTCGGGGCAAAATATGAAATTGGGAGATAAAAGACACAAACTGGGGACAAAAGATAAAATTTAAAGATAAAAGACACAAACTGGGGAGAACAAACATGAAATCGGGACAAAAGATTTGGAATAAAAGTCACAAACTGGTAACAAAACACAGAAATTCGTGATAATAAGTACTAATTGGGGACGAAAGGCACAAAATGACTGCAATAACATCGCACAAAAATCACAACCACTAAAGACTGATATACGGGAGTACTAAAAAGAGACGGTCGGGTACCTGGAACCAATTTTTTTAAATATGTTAGACACACTTGTCCACAATCTCACCAAAAAAACCTGAAAAACCTGGTGTTGAACAGCCCCAAATTGTACTTTTTGGGAAATACAGACGAGTATTCCATTCTTTTGCCGTACGCATCAGAAAGGAGGAAGCAAAGCGCTTAGTGCGAATAGGTGGTATATCAACGACATAAGGATGGAGTGTTCCGGACCTCTAGTCGACCGAACGGTGAGGGTGGAACTAAATTGAAAAGTTCCAGTGCACACTCCCCGAAATATATCCTATAGAAAATTTAAGGAACGCACTACGCGTTGGTGGCATTAGCAGTATTTGTATTTGCAATGATATTTGAATAGACAATGCATAATGAAAATACAATTGTAGTTAATATAGCAAAGATGAGTTGTGAAGTAACTGTAATCTGAATTATGAATCTCCTTTGTAAATTTCGGTTGTTTAAGTTTTTTATTTACTTACGATTAAATGTGTACAAATATTAATATTAATTATTGCAGAACTGAATTAAGGATAAAATGTTATATTCCTTATTTTGTATTTTTTATTTACCATTCCGTGACGATGTTATGAATAAACACAGGCTTATTCGGGACAAAAGATAATAATTCGGGATAAAAGACACAACTGGGGCCAATTTTGAGGTTGTTGGGTAATTTTTCGAAAAATTTCAAATAGTGGAAATAACAATTCTCAAAAAATTTATAATTTCGAAGGCTTATAAGAAGTTCTTCGTTTAGAAATATCTTTTTAAGTTTTATTTACCGTGAATTATAAAATTAACTTGTATAGATTAAAGCCACTTAGAGAAAAACGAGATTTAAAATGATTTCACAAGAGCGAGAAAAATCCTTTTTAATGGCTCCATTGTTTCCATTCATTAACTTCAACTGTTGACAGATGTCAACGTCAAATGTGGAAAATTAAAGAAAAAATATTGGAAAACTATCAAGAAATATATTTAATTTTTCTGAAAAATAATGATTTTTTTTAAGGAAAATTTGCCATGGATCGACACTATGTAACCCATACTAAGTTTTTATATATATGAAAACTGCAACCAAATACTACGTAATTTAGTATCAACAAGACCGTCGTAAGGTCCAACGAATCTGGTTTGTTTTTTTATAAAAAAGAATTACTCTGCACTTACGATAATCTATTTGTGTGATACTAATCTTATTGATTGTAGGGATATTTTACTATTACGATATTAATTTTTTTAATGAAATTGCTCCACTTAATTTAATAATGAAATTGTTTATTTATCTTAACAAATTAATAAGTAAAAATAAGCTAAACACAGCGTTTAGTAACAAACCTCAGCACAATGGGGAGTTTTTCACAACTCTGATAATATTCTACTACAGCTTGCCATGTTATCAAAAGAACTAACACACATTGTCATTGTAGGTCTGAGATTTCAAGCCGATTATTACTTACTATTTATTTACTAACCTTAGGCTGCCTTTCCATCAGAGATGTGCGATGTAGCGAGGCGGTGTGCGAGGAAAAAATCGACCAATAGGATTACTTCATTTCCCTAGCCTAGCTTAGCGTAGCTCCGGTGGAAAAGGGTTAGCGGAGCCAAGTGTTTGTAGTACATATAAAATAGCGAGGGATGTGTGCAAAACGGTGTAGGAAACTAGAGCTACTGAAAGTATGACACTATTGAGTTCTTAAGTTTTCGCGATTGTATGTGTATGATATGTGTACATAGGAAATGAAACTATTTTTCCGGATTTAAATCGCGTATATTTGTTTTTTCAGAGGCCATTGAAATTAAAAAACATCCTAATTTCAACAGGGAAGATGGTTTCTCCGTACCACCAGTTTGGGATCCAGTATTTCCTCTAATGAAAAATCCCAAACAGACATAAGACTGCAGTACTAATTAATATGTTTTAGTTTATTCTAATTTCTATTAATAATTAATAATAAATTGAACTTAATAAAAATTCATTCAATAAAATAATTTGTAAAACTTAATGTAGCGTAAATTGGAATGTTTTCTTTGTAAAATTAAAAATAAAGTATTTAATTAATAACTATTGTAACTATAGTGAAAAAATAGGGTGGTTTGCATTAATATTAGACATAACTGGTTGAAGACTGTACCACCTCAGTCAACCGTGACCATGGGACCTGTAAAGGGCCCGAAACGTCGGTTTGTTTGAAAAAACAAATATACGCGATTTAAATCCGGAAAAATAGTTTCATTTCCTAAGTATGACACTAATTGGCACTGACACGTCGTCAGCGCTCGCCCCACCACGTACCCCGCCCGCGCGTATCTGAAAAGAGTGCGTAACGCATCCTCGCACAGCTTTGATGTAAAACATCACACAGTTTCACAGCGCCGCTACACATTCTCGCACCGCCTCGGCACCTCGCACATCTCTGGTGGAAAGGCAGCCTTAGAGGTGGAATATTTTCTTCAAATTCGCCTGAGACCACTAACGAGGTACCTCCTTTCTAATAAAAAAAGAATCATGGAAATCGGTTCACAAGTCGACCCCTCCTACGTAAAGTATTGTATGTCGAAATTGCCAAGTTTACAGGGGAGCGTTTTCAAGTTTTGAATTCACTGTAATGAGCATAGCATGTGGTAAATCTCTTTACTCACATAGAGTGATCATCTAATCGGCTTCGCCGAATAAAACTTAGAAATGCTAAAGCCACGTGTTATGTTCATTTCAATGAAAACAGAACTTTAAAACGCTCCTCTGTGAACTTGGCAATTTCGACATACTATACTTTACCTAGGTGGAGTCGAAATAATCGCGTAACAAACACAAAAAAGTCGAATCGAACCTTCTTTTTTCAAGTCGGTTAAAAATGAAACTTCAATTTATTCTATTACGTATGTACTTTAATTCCTAATTATAATAAATTATTGCAATTGGTTTTACAATTTTCGTTAATTATTATTGTTTTACTTATTAGCGAGTATTATATTAATGGTGTTGCATTGACATCGATAAAAAAAACTATCGATACATTAGAAATAAATCGACTTAGTATTATTTATACTCGGAGATTTCTCTTATCTACAAACGGAAGGGTATAGTCAATAGCACGTCATAGCTGACATACTCTTGACCTTGTACATTATTTCAATCTGTTTAGTTTAACCATGAACCAATATCTCAAAGGGACTGCTAATCGCGATACAAGTCAGCGTGGTCAGTAGTACCTATTTGGTACACCAGATGTCGCGACGAGTACCAAATAGCTGTTTTTGTAACTAATTTGTTTTACATTGACAAGCTGCAATTTATCAAAGCTACTCTAATTTCTAGTGATAACAAACAAATCAACTAGATGACGCTTATTATGGATAGTGCTACAGTGCTGGCTATTTTTTATTTTGATTAGGATTAGCGCCATCTACACGTATTAGGAAGCGTTAATTTATAAATTAGTTTGTAACACACAATGCAAATACTGACACGAATATTTGCCAAAATTCGGAAAATAATTTTAACTCCTGACAATTAAGGCATAAAACTGAATGATTTATAAGATCATATTAAAGGAATTTATTGATATCAACGGTGTATGCGATAAAGAATACAAGAATAAGAACTTTGAACTCGTTTATTGTAAAGATTTAGAAATAACTTTGAATTTTAATAATATTTATGCCGCGCGCGATCACTGTCGTCGCGGTCGAGCTAATCGACTGTGAACTGGCAGTCGGTACTATCTCAATCTTGACAACTTCACAAGACGAAGAAAAAAATGACTTGCGTCATTTATATAACATCTGGTTTATTAAATAGAAATACGGTTTTTAAATATTTCTATTTCACATGTATGTCTGTACATTACGTATTTTTATTTAATAAAACAGATGCTATATAAATGATTTTTTCTTCATCCTGTAAAGTTGTCAAAATTGAGATAGTACCGGTTGCCAGTTCACGGTCGTAATGTCCGTTCGCTCTGTCGCCATCGTCGCCCCGTCTATTGGCGGCGTCACACGGGTTACAGGTTATTTTTTTTTTTTTTTTTTTTTATTTTTTTTTTTTTATTGCGACTCGACAAAATGACTGCACCGCGCCTGATGGAAAGTGCGAATACAGTCCAGAGATGAGAGTAACGGATGGAAAACACAAATATCTTCACTCCGTCACTATCATTTTGCCGGTCTGGCCAAATGCACTGGATGTACACCAACTGATCCCTGAACGCGATTCGCAAAAGCGTTTCACTGTGGAGGGTTTTCCGCCGTGTGTACTGTGGTCGCTATCCAGTCGGCACAGAGCCTACCACAATGCTAAGCAGATGGACACTTGTGACGCCCTCGGTCGCCTCTTACGACCCCCACGGGCATGTATGGGGAGGCGACAATGTATTCTTAAGCCGTCGCCCCACGGCTGGAACCAACATCATTATTGGTACCAACGCCGTCTATAAGACGGAATTTTGATTTTTTTCATAGTTAAGATCTATCTAAGTATGCAGATTAGCAGTCTCTTGAGCTATTTGCCCATGGTGTAATAGACAATTTGTGCGTTTTTTATGTTCCCATTTACCTGTTATCCAAATCACTGAAACGGTTAAAAATGTGGCTCTCGCCGATTGCTTCGGAGATGATTAGATATGTTTTTTAAATAGGTTACGTAGTATTGCTGCACTATTAACAACTCTATATCGCTCCCTGCAGCTGTATCTATATGTGGAACACCTTTCGACCTTTGTTTATAACCGATAAATGGATGGATGGATTGTGTGAAAGATGACATGGATAAGAAAGATGTTAGTGTGGATGGAAATAACGGCTGATAGGGGAGAGTGGAAGAAAATACATGTTGTGCCGACCTACTTCATAGTGCAAAAGTGTTTCCAGCTTGCGAGCAGCTATTGATTGTAGTCGATGAATATTCTATTGACTATCGAGTAAATATTTGTCACGCTTATGGAATACATAACCGAACTTGTTTCATTCGAATCATCCTCGATCCATTATTCATCCAATTATTGACCACAAGTTCATTTGAATTGTCAATTTTTGTAAGCATACACGCACTGTATTTAGAACCATGTTTATGAAAAATACATATTTTGAATATCGAGTTCTTAGGTTTTCGCGATTGTTACACATAGGAAATGAAACTATTACACCGACTTTAAATCGCGTATATTTGTTTTTTCACTGACTGACGGTTGATTGTCGGCTGAATGTCAACCGTGACCATGGGACCTGTAAAGGGTCCGAAACGTTGGTTTGTTTGAAAAAACAAATATACGCGATTTAAATCCGGAAAAATAGTTACATTTCCTATACATATTTTAAAGTTTTTCTTTTTAATTCAATATAGATAATCAAATCCGGATATTTTTGTTAACATGTATTATGAATAAAAATTGATCTCGATACTAGTAGATCAACTGCTAAAATAAGAATAAAGATGTCAAGAACGCAATTAGTAATAATTAGAACGTCGTAACATTCACAATTCAGGCATTTTTGGCAAAATCACGTTTTTTCACAATCTTTCGATAAAACTGTCGACAGCAACTACATGACTATTTAAAATTTTATGAAAACTGGCAACCCTACAAATGACAGTTTACTCCGTCTTCAAAAAGACAGACTATATATTATATTAACTATAGTCCATTTCACATACGATAGGTACTGCGATATTTCAAATTTTTACATTAATAATAATAATAATAATAATTTTATTCAAATTAAACATACAGCACATACTATTTTTAACTAATCTCTCAACCAGCTTCCAAAAAGAAATAGTAAATTTGTTATCATATATTGCAGTTGTAATTTTAAATAAAAATTACAGTATATTAAGTAAAAATAAATTAACTACAACTACTTGATGCGTAAAACGGAATATTTATCTATACAGATTTATATTATAGAATCGATAAATCGAAACGACTACCGTATCTCGCGTCAGAACAAGTGTTTACACCTTGTATGAGACTCGTTTTATTTTGTTTAGAACTTTGCTTGGTGTTTTTGGAATAATTGTTCCAATTTAGTTTCGTTCCCGTTAACTTTTTGTTTGGCTGTTGTTGAATTTTTATTTGTGTAGTTTTTTAATAACTAAAATAACATAATAATTGAATCCTTTTTATTTTGTTATTTGTTCTTAAATTGTCTCTAAATTAATTCCCGCTTCGTGGCAAATTACGTCGATAAGGTATTTCCATCGAGTTTACTACATCACTAGACGCTTCAAATCTCAAACGTCACCGTACCCATGCTATGTGAAATTAACTATAAAATAACGGATAATATATACATACATATACCTCACGCATTTTTCCCATCGGCGTAGGCAGAGACAACAGTCTTCCAATTGCTACGGTCCTAACACACATCTTTCGCCTCATCAACACGCATCAATGCTTTCATACACGCTCGTCGGTTAAGGGTATTCTTGACCTGGCCCTTCTTTAGGATGGCCTCATTTTGGTCATGGTAAGTTCCCTTGGTCGGCCCATACCAACTTGCCCGCTCAAACTCGTCTTATAAATCTGTTTCCGCCAATCTTCTTTCATTCATTCTCTCTACGTGTCTGAACCATCTAAGGATCTTTTCTCTATCTTTGTCACTATATCTTCTTCCACGCCGCAACGCTCTCTTATCACACTGTTCCGTAATTTATGCATTCGAGTCACTCCAGCCATACTTCTCATGGCTTTCATTTCTACTGCAATAATTCTACTTTCGTGCTTCTTCTGCCAAAATCTACATTCATTACCATACATAAGTGGACCCAGCACCCTCCCATGCACAGCCAATCGTGCCTTTTTAGACACTTTAGTGGACATTTTAGTACCAGTAGATCCCTGTGAAAGAGTTCGTCCAGGGAAGTACTGCCACGTTACCTATTTCTGCCACCAAGCAGTAATGTCAGCATTACTGTGTTCCAGCTTTGAAGCGTAAGGGTGTTGGTGAAATTACAGGCACATGGGACTTGTCAACTTATGTCTGAGGGTGACGGGCGCACTGGTAGTGCCCCTCACATCTTTGCAATTTAGAGCTCTGAGTGGCACTGTAACTGTTATGGACAGGCGTGTAGCTGACTATCAGGCGCACGACTTGTTCGTCCCCTCACTTGATGTTATAAAAAAAACTTTCTGGCTGTCCATGATGTAAGGCGCCATTCACCTGATTCCCAGCGTTCACTCTCCTTTCATATTTTCCATCACACGTAAATAACGGGTAACTCACGTATTTAATTCGATTTTTTCCCTCGATGTTTCGAATCTGTCCTCAGTTTCCGTCGAGTCATCGCCGCGGCAGCTCGTGATTGAATGCCACGAGGTAATAATTCCCCATAACACATGAGTTATCCGTTAGATTACAATATCTTAAACTCACGGTAGTTTTCTAAATAAGATTTTATGATATCATGAACCAATAACTCAAAACGACTGCTAATCTTCATACTACAGATTAGAGATGCCACGAATAGTGAATAATATAGAAATAGTGAATTCGGTCACGCTCTCGGCTGACCGAATATTCGGCCTAAGATCTGTGCATTTCACGCGTGGCCTGTTACGACCTGTCTCAGTTAACGGGGGTGCGGTGTTTTTGTTGAACAATGATAAAACGGTAGAATCAATATACAATGTTTCTGGACCTGTTTTGATGAAATCGCTACAGATAATATGCAAAATGATGAGGATGTGGAGAAAAGTTCTATTGCAAATGAAATTGATTTTTATTTGAAAAGTGTTCGCCTAGATCGGATTGCAGATCCTTACAAGTGGTGGTCAGCAAACGCAAAGCAGTATCCAAGCCTGTCAAAATTTGCTAAGATTTATCTATCGTCTCCTGACAGGAGTGTTTATAGTGAGAGGCTATATTCAGAAGCAGAAATTGTTTATGAGGAAAAACGCAATCGTTTGTTACCAACCAATGCCGAAAAAAATTGTTTTCATTCATCACAACCTGCCACTGATTGATTTTGAGTAATAAAGCAATAATTTGTGATTAAAATATATGGTTACATTTTGAATAATGTGCTTTTTTTTTTCAGTGGCCGATTAGGCCGAATAGCAGCCGAACATTCGTGGCAACATTATGATATGGGGTCCTTCAAACGAGGCGTGAAGAGGCATATTGTAGGCAGGCAGGGTGGAGGTGGCTAGTGCAGTGAGGATTTCATCGCTGCACTAGGTTCCTTCGCGTTTGGATACCACTTTCCACTTAACATCAGGTGGAGTGGAGTCATTTGCCTGTCATGTATAAAAAAAAAAAAAAAAAATCTCTGCTACAGATCGTAGCTCGGAAAGTGTAAAAATCGGTGCAAGTAGAAAGAAAGAAAGAAAGAAAACTGTTTATTACACAAGCACAGACACGCATATAAACAAAAGAAGAAAGGAACAATAATAAAAATTCAAAATTAATCTTTTAGGCCCCGGGAGAGGCGAGAATCTAAAATAAATAAAGATAATAATAAAAAAGAAAATTTAAAATTATGCAGTACCTAATTCACCGTCGTGTGCGTTGCGCCTGGTGCAATCGGGACTTGGTCAGCTTTAGCCACAAACGGCTTTTTTAAAAACCGTTTCGTGGCGGTGATTTATTAACGCTATCTAGTTGATTTGTTTGTTATCACTGGACATTACAGTAGCTTTCATAAATTGTCGATTCGTCAATTATTTACAACTTAGTTACAAAATAGCTATACTTCGTTTCAATTCATTTTCAACAAAATGTAAACAAACAAGTCACTGACCCGACCATAGACGGTTTAGTGATGTCCAATTGTAATGCCAACTACAAAAATGGATTAATGCATTGAATGCATTGACTTACAAATAAATGGACGACGGGTCTAATACAAAAACCACGAAAAAAATGTCCCAAGTCAACCTATTCGAAATTTAAATTGTAATGTCATCGCAGTATCGCGCTGTCAGTAGAACAAATGAAGACTAAAGCGGAGTGTCGCGCTCTGTATACGATTTTAGCGCCTTACAAGTGCGGACACTTTTTAGCGCGGACCCGACGTCCATATAATTGTAAGTCAATGATTGAATGAATCAATTTGTTTAATTGAATCATACTAACGGTTTTACTTACATAACCTACAAAAGCATATTTAAAATTTCCGAAATCTTAATTTTAAATCCTCCTTCGAATCCTTACACTTATATACTCGTTCGATTGCGCTTGAAATTTTCGATTCACTAATCGATTACAAAACCTTTAATTGAATGAACCGAATGTTTTTTGTTCGTACAGCACTATGCAACAGTAGACTATTCATACCTCTATAATTAAAACATAACCTCACTTTTGGACTACCATTTTTCAAATACGATTTTACGATGCTATTCAAATGAATATTGTTGGAAAACGTGACGAGATCTTCGAAATATACGTGAAAGTGTTAATTATTCGATTTATTGAGTGATTTCTTTACAATTATCATGAAACAGTTTTGTTTACTTTTTGTTCAAAATGGATTAGAACAGACTTTAGGTATTTGGTACTCGTCTGAACTGTTATGAACAGGCTTACTATCAGGCGCACGAAAAAACGAATTTGATAATTTTGTGGATTGGATACTTTTTGCTTAACCACGTCCAATTGGTCCATGATGATGCTTGAGATAAAGACGGTCCTAGAGTACGTGTGTGTTGCACTTGCCGTGGTCATTACCATCGATAGTTTAACCAGTTACCTATCGATAGCGACACAACACTGCTAGGTGGTATTCAGCGCACTAGCCAAAGCGTTTAATGGCATAGGTATTGCGTCCTTTTTCCTTCTCCTGTTCCTTGGCGGGCGTGGGATCTTCATATGAGCGAATCGAATGTGTTCTTTCAGGTCGAACGACACGACGTAGGTTTTATCGCACATGCCGCATTTGTGGCGACGCTCTTTTGTGTGTACCTGAGGGGAAGACCATAGAAAAATAAATACAGTAGAAGTGGTTAGTTAGCGTCCGATACATGCCTACTATAGATCTCGAAAGACCTATGTGAGCACAGTCCGCCATTTTTGTATGGTATGGTTGTGTCATTCTTTCGTGCAAATTCTCTAAAATCCTAGGAAAATGCCTTATTGTGTTTTGGAGTGCAAAAATGATAGCCTCACCAAAAATATTACCTGTGGTTGTATTTTTAACCGACTTCAAAAGAGGAGGTTCTCAATCCGACTGTACGATCTTTTTTTTGTTATTAATGTTACGCGATGACTCCGGTATTTGTGAACCGATTTTCATGATTATTTTTTTGTTGGAAAGGGGGTACTTCCATAGTGGTCCCATTTCATTTTGAAGATCCAATCACAATCATCCACCTCGAAGGGTGGCTGTTCACGCATGAAGATTCACTTTTATAAATAGCGCCTAACTTTAATTTAGGAGCAATTACTTTAATGGTTGATTTTGCTATTTCTTCCATTCAAGGCGTTTTTCTCTCAATATACTTTGAGTAGTGTCGTAGTGAGAACCTATTTTTATTATCTCCAGCGTCAAGTCCTGTATAGTGGCGAACTAGGGGATATTTCAATAAAACTTAGCAAATAGAGGTAACTCCACGTACTTTTGAGGTCGGTTTTTTTAGTACTCTGTACTGAGATTATCGGAAAGTCCTATTTTAAAAAATTTTCAATTTTCTGTTTATCGAAATATTTTTTTGTTACATGAAACGAAAGTAAAGTTTATACCCCTGCAATATGGTCGCTTCTTTTTGGAGAACTAAATTGATAATTCCGATTCGTCGTCGTTCAGCTAGTAACCGCTAGATGGCAGCACATTGATTGAAATTTCAATATAATATCAAGACGTCGTAACTTGCAATAATAGGTATTGATGGTATTGAACTTTAAATTATTTAAAACCCAGAATTTGTTATTACTTTTTAAATTTGATATTACGACCAATCAATATCAAGATTTCGTAGCGTTTCAAATTAAGAATTGTTGTGAGTTTTGGCGACATAGGTTTCTCATAGTGATCGAGGCTTAAGACACTTCCATTGTATTTTTTTCATTCGTAGGGAAGACGGTGTTGTTAACCTTTTTTTTCGTTATGATATCAAACGATGGGGTGATCAAGTCAGTTGCAGTTCCACTTAAGAGCTTTAGTAGTACATTGTGTGTTACGGAGGCTAAATAAGAAAATACTAACGAGGGTTTAGCACAAGCCCGAGTTTTGTTTTTTTTTACCGTCCGTGATACATAGTGTTTTTCATCACATTTGCGAGTAAATCAATACAATGTAAATTTGGTTCACAACACAACTGATACCTACCAGTAGTCAGAAATGACATTTTCCAGAAATAACGTTTGGTCGAAATTTCATAACCTCGAAAATAATTTTGAGAGGAAAAGGTTTTTTCTTTTAAACCTAACTTAACCGAACCTAATCGTGTCTTTGCGATAAACATCCAAATTAATCACGTATAATCATTGACTTACAAATAAATGGACGACGGGTCTAATACAAAAACCACGAAAAAAATGTCCCAAGTCAACCTATTCGAAATTTTAATTGTAATGTCATCGCAGTATCGCGCTGTCAGTAGAACAAATGAAGACTAAAGCGGAGTTTGGCGCTCTGTATACGATTTTAGCGCCTTACAAGTGCGGACACTTTTTAGCGCGGACCCGACGTCCATATAATTGTAAGTCAATGCGTATAATACATATTTTAATTACCTCGACGTTTCGGATGTATAGCGGAAAGAGTCAAAGAACACATAGCGGCTGTTAAGAACGGTCATAGAATAGAATACGTTTATTTGCCAGAATACAGTAATTACAAAGGTCTTAAGTAAAATTAGGTACATTGTATTCAACCTGCAAGCAGATGTGCAAATATTAATGGGACTCAATGTTTCTTTAGTCTCTATAGTTTCTAATTAATGTAATGAATTTGTAAATTCTAAGTATTCTTTATTACTATAGAAGCAATGTGTCAAAAGCCATTTTGTCAATTTTAATTTATAAGTATGTCCTTGTAACAATTTAATTTCGTTTGGTAATTTATTGTAAATAATTATACACATGTTGAAGCAGTTATTCTTATAAATTACTTTATGGCAACGAGGTTGGTATAATAAGCCAGCTCAATAAGTCTGCAATAGCCGAGCTGGAGTCAGGACCAAACCACTGCATTGAGCTTCATAATCCCAAGATCCTTTCTACAGATCTATAGTAGAACCGTACGTGAAGCTATTGAAATGAAAAAACACCGTAATTTGAACCGAGAAGACGGTTTTAAGCTTTCATCGTCATGGAATCCAGTTATCAGTTAAAATATAAACGACATCAAGCATAGCCCGACAAGTCGCCGGATGTCGTGAGTGTTGTGTGTCGATATAGTGAGAACCCTAGTACACAAATAAACAATGAAGATCATGTGCGGTTAGTTAGAAAAACTCGCACGGCTAGAAGATGCTGACACCCGCCTCTTCAGTCCCTTCGAGACCATGGACGTTGTAATACGTCCGAAACGTAGAGGTAAATTAAAATTAACTTTTAAACCTAACTTAACCGAACCTAATCGTGTCTTTGCGATAAACATCCAATATATACTGAAAGAACAACTGTTTCGTTATAATTCGGTTTTCGGTGTAACGAAAATTCGAACAAACGTTATTTCGGAAAAAAAATTCGAATTTGTGATAGATTACCCAAAACAACAATTACGGATTTTGCAAATGGAGAGTTTTTTAATCTTTCAACGAAATACAACTCGTACTAAAATAAGTAAAAAGCAAAGACGCATACAACCATGATGGATTAAAATCAATTATAAGAAATTCCTAATAATAAGTATTTATGTAGTATGTGACTGAATTGCAATTAAATTTCTTGTTTTTTAATTAAATTAAATTTGTTTAGATAACATTTTGAGCGAATGTTTTAATTCTGAACTTAAGTACTTGTTTACTTGAACCTAATATATATGAGAAAGTATGTTGTGCTACAAATTTAAAAAACCTTTTTACCGACTATGGCTGTAATGGGAAGAAAAAAGGCCCGAGAGTTTTATTTGAGACATTATAGTCAAGTAACCATATTATTTACGAGCAAATGCGATGAAAATAACAATAACGCACACACTCAGTCCCGCACTAGGGAAACCTTGTATCGCAGGCGCCATGGACACACAGACAACCACAAATCGCAAAGACGTGGGCACTGCCACTGTCCCCGTCACCCTGAGACATAAATTGATAAGACCCATGTCTGTAATTTCACCAGTACCATAGCCCTTCGAAACCGAAACGTAGTAATGGTCACATAACTGCAATACCTCCTTGACCAATTCTTACACAAGGTTTACAAGCTCTACTGCAATGAAAACTGCTCCAATACTCACCAATAACTTGTGTTTGTGTCTTTGTGAATAGGACTTGAACGTCTCTGGGCATAGCGCGCATTTGTACGGACGCTCACCCGTGTGCGTATTTATGTGAACCTGATAGAATAACAACTTAAATAAGTACATTTTTTTTAATAACGCACACACTCAACATAGCCCCGCACTAGGGAAACCCTGTGTTGCGGGTGCCATGCACACACACATAAGGCCATACAAATATTCCTCCCGGCCCGGGAATCGAACCTGGGACCTCTGCGTGGCAGTCCGGTATGGTAACCGTTCGGCCACTGAGGCAGTTTAAATGTATAGAATAGTATTTTTAACCACACACATATATCATAAACCCTCTATTATGTGCTCTGTAACCGCAAATTACCACCAGTATAAAGATAAACTGTTTTGTTAGAACAAATTTCTTATCTGTGAAAGTGTTATTATTGCTTTATAATAACATCAAATTCGATTTTATTATTACATCAAATTTAGAACATCTCTGAAAAACAAAACAATTTGATTCGACCTCAATTCTAAATTATCAGTCGAGATGGAGTTTTATTCGAAATGAAATGTCAAAAGCAAATAATTTTAACAAATCTCACACGTTACTTGATATCGAACGATATGATAATTGGGGCCGACTCTAGTTTGTCTATGAATTAGAAGTAAAAACTACAGTTGCGTGACATGCGTGAGAAAAGTCTTTATTTGCCGCCATTTGGCCAGTCACAACATGCGGTTCCTAAGCACATAGAGAGCTTATAATATATGTATAGATAAAGCAGTGTATGTACTTGCCATCGAGTATATAACTAGAAATAGAGACGAAATAAGGGCCATCCATCCCTGGCAACTCATCAGGCAAAAGGGCCTTATATTACTTTTAAATATCAACTCTCGTTTGCGTTGAAATCACAAATTAGAAAGCTGAAATAGTACAGCGCCAACAACTGATCCGTGTGTACGTGTCCGTATATTCCGAAAATATTATGTATGTATTCTAATAAAGATAATATCTCTAACAATGGAGGCTGTTTCATTCGGTTTTGTGGGAAAAATAGCAAAACATCTAAGTAATTACAAAACAAACGGAATCACATTTCATCGGTAATTAAATATTAAATACGTAATTTTGCAATTTTCGTCCATTATAGCAAGGCTCAAGTTAAACTGGTCGATTTGAAGTGAAACAATTGACGACACCCGTCAACTGTTTCGAATCCGGGCTGGCTAATCGAAGCGCAGTTGTTACCGTAATGATTTGGCAGAATAGGTTTCAAACAAACTAAATTACATTTGTCTCTATTTCTGGTTATATACTCGATGGGTGAAAAGGGCGGTTTGTAAGAAAATCAGCGCGATGAGAAATTCATACTCTAAGGTAAATAAACTTACTCTCAAATTAGTGTGCATTCTGAAACTCTTTGGGCACATGGGACATTGATGTGGGCGTTCTCCAGTGTGGACCCGTTGGTGGTACTTCAGTTGAACTTCCGACTGGAAAAAACATAATAATAACGTACACGTTTACAGCTCCGCACTAGGGATACCCGGTATCGCGGGTGCCATGACCACATACATGATCAATCACAAATTACACACAAACTCACGAGATAAATAAATGTGGTCATACAAATAGTTTTCTCGGCCTGAGAATCGAACCCGGGACGTTTGCGTGGCAGTCCGACCACAGAGGCAGTTCGGAAACATGACGTGATACAGCAACTTCAATTCAAATTCAACAAATTCAAATTATCAAATTTCCACTACACGTCCACCTGTTCACAGGTCTAGAGTGAATATCATATATAATGGTATGTTTTTTCTGTATAATTTTTCAAAATGGAGGTAAAAATGTGGTATGAAATAGTAAATACTTTTGTAGTTGGCATTTTAATTATTTAAATTATACCTCTTTTAGTTGTTACTAGCTGTTCCCAATGAGTAGACAAATGTCTACAGATATAAAGAGTGACATAGAATGGTTAAAACCACCAAACTTTTTTATTTATTTTTTAACGCACACACTTAACATAGCCCCGCACTAGGGAAACCCTGTGTCGCCGGTGCCATGGACACACACATAGACAACCACAAATTATACCCAAACTCACGAGAGAAATAAATGTAGGCTATTCAAATATTTATCCCGGTCCGGGAATCGAACCAGGGACCTCTGCGTGGCAATCGGCACGGTAACCGTTCGGCCACGGAGGCAGTTGAATAATAATTAAATACCTTTTCCAATTCTGGATTTCGAAAATAAAGTGTATGGAAGTATGTAATGTCCACAGGACAACAATAAATACAGTAGAAGTGCTTAGTTTGCGTGTCACGTGTGCCAATCGTACGCGGAGTTCCGCAAACTTGAGCTCAGTCCGCCATGTTCGCTTTGAACGTTATGGTCGTGTCAATTACCTCGCTAAAAACCCCGAAAATTGTAGAAAAATGCCGTATTTATAGCCTGTTCCAATCCATTTTCAAGAAATAGTAAACAAACCTGTTTGGTTAAAATTCTAAAGTAAACACTCAATTAAATCGAATAAGTTTCACGTATATTTCGAAGTTTTCAACTTGATATCTCATCACTTTTTTTAACAATATTAATTAGAATAGCATCGTAAATCGTATTTGAAAATGGTAGTTCAAAAGTGAGGTTATTTTTCATCTATACTTGTATGACTTGTTTATGGTTGCATAGTGTTGTACGAATTCCGTTCATTCAATGAAAGTTTTTGTAACTGATTGGTCAATCGAAAATTTCAATCGCAATCGAACGAGTATCTAAGAGTTGAAGGAGGACATAAAATTAAGATTTCGGAAATTTTAAATATGTGCTTTTATAAGTTATGTAAAATGAAAACTGCTAGAATGACTCAATTAAACAAATCGATTCATTCAATTAAATTAATCGATTTATAGTTTGCTTTACCATTGGCCGTCACTCAACCGTCTATGGTCAGTGATTCAAACGAAGTATATTTGCTTTGGAGTGCAGAAATGATAGTCTTGTAATATATTGTGTTTCGTATCATCATTAAGTTTTATTTAATTTAATTTTAATAAATGTTCAATTTTCTGTTTGTCGTAATATTTTTTTTTGTTACAAGAAACGACCGCTGTAATATGGTCGCTTCGTTTTTGACGAACTAAGTAAACAACTCGAATTCGTCGTCGTTCTGCTATTAACCGCTAGATGGCAGCACATTGATTGAAATTTCATTGTACAATCAAAACGTGCAATAATAGGTGTTGCTGGTAATGAAGTTTCAACGATATGCCAACAGCGTAAAGTTTAAATTATATTAACAGCCAATCAGTCATTACCAAGATTCATCGAGTATATAACCAGAAACAGAGACGAAATAAGGGTCCTATATTCCTGGTAACATATTAGCGACTCCCGTTTGCGCTGAAATATAGACAGGCCAACTACTGACCTGTGTGTATGTCTCCGTATATTCCAAAAAATATTCTGTATTTACTCGGAATCACATTTCATCGGTAATTAAATATTAAATATGTAATTTTGCAATTTTTCTCTATTATAGCAAAGCTCAAGTTAACTGGTCGATTTGAAGTGAAACAGGTGACGAACTCGGGCTGGCAAAAAAATGGCTCGGTCTCCCATTTTTTTGCCATTTTTTAGAACCTAAAATATATTTCACAAAGGCCGTGTATTAACCTCAAAGCATGTTTAAATAAAAACATGAACCCAGAAAGCCAGTAGAAAGCATGACTTTGGAGATATTTCTATGTACTATACTGGTTATGTATAAGGTACACTTTAGCGCTTCCATTGTTTTTTTTCTTTCGTGGTAATGTCAAACGTGAGGGACGAAACGTGACTTACCGGATAGCTGTGAGCGCAGACTTCGCACATGTACTGGCGGGGGGCCGCGCCTGGCTGCGGCTTCTCGCTGGGCGCGCGGTGAACGCGCTTCCAGTGGATTGAGAGGCTGCGGTCTGACACAAAGGTGGCGCCGCACTGGAATACACGAAAATAAGTTATAAGCCTTGAAGTAACTGGCACTACATAGCTCAAAATTAAAAATGCTCAGCACAGGACCATTAATTGTAATGGCAATTAAAATAAATCCCCAAAAAAATTTCATCCCAATCACGGACTAATTTCGCACCCCTCCTGGAAGAATGGCATAAGTCGAGTTACGTTAAACATGTTTATCGCTCTATTAGATACAGAAAAATATAACCCACGTGCTCTCTAATTCTTGTAACTCTATCGATTATTGTAGACAGATTTACAAGACTTGGCGAGGATGTGGGTTATATTTTTCTTTATCTAACGGAGCAATAACCGTTTTCGACGTAACTACACTCAAATTCAAAATAATCTTTTATAATAATAATAACGCACACACTCAACATAGCCCCGCACTAGGGAAACCCTGTGTCGCGGGTGCTATGGACACACACACATAGACAACCACAAATTACACCCAAACTCACGAGAGAAATAAATGTAGGCCATATAAATATTTCTCCCGGCCCGGGAATCGAACCTGGGACCTCTGCGTGGCAGTCCGGCATGGTAACCGTTCGGCCACTGAGGCAGTTTATTTCATAGGTAACTCTACTCAATGCTCAAGTCAGGATCTGAGTATGATTTCAAGCACTGGAAATACGACCCTAATAGCAGTTACTTGAGTATGATTTCGAGTGCTTTAAACCATACTCAAATCCTGACTTGAGCATTGAGTAGAGTTCTAGAATACGACCCTGAGTGGCACTGCAACTGTTATGGATCGGCGTGTTACTTAACACCAGACGTCACTTGCTATTATATAAAAAAAGATGGAAGGTAGCGTAATGTAGAGGCATAACAGTCGTATCTCAACTCGTAGTAATTGGGTCGAGCTCCAGAGACACTGGCTTAATTTTAGAATTTATTTTTTTACAAACGAAATTGAAGCTATTTGAAAAATGTACATATCGACGCCTCCTACGTAAAGTATCGTATGTCGAAATTGCCAAGTTTACAGGGGAGTGTTTTAAAGTTCTCCGTTTCATTCGGCAAAGCTTGTTACTCACATAGAGTGATCATCTAATAGATCATCTAACCGATATCTAGGATTTTATGATACTCAACGTGTGTAACGAGATTTGCCGAATAAAAGTGAGAAATCTAAAGTCACGTGTTATGCTTATTTCAGTGAATTCAGAACTTTAAAAGGCTCCCCTGTAAACTTGGCAATTTTGACATACGATACTTTACGTGGGAGGGGTCGACATATCGTATACTATACGTTTTCTATTTAGTTCAGTTGATATAAAAAAAAAATTGGTATATGTAAAGTACCTATTGAAGACAGCGGTTTTCTTGTCAAATTTCGAGGTAAGTTTGTTTTTTATTCTATCGTGAAAATTTTTGAGAATCGTGTTTTCAGACCGTATTGTAATCAGTGTGAAAGGGTTGTAACCCTAACTAGCTGTGAACAGGTTCACGGCAATGAAATGGGAAACTTCCGGCCCACAAAATTTATTAAAGTAGTAAAGTTTAAAGAAAGGCTGTAACAATATAAAGGTAAATGTAAAAAACAGGTATAACAGTATAAAACACTCCCTACACTTTATTATTAAGGCACTTACCCCTAAATGGACCGAGAAACTCAATTACAGAAATAGATAAATGAAGGGTGTAGACTTATAAATTATTACACATGATTAGCTTATTAACAGCTCTGACTGTTGTGGCGGTCGAGCTGGGAGTGACCGTGGTACGAAAACAAAATGAGAAAGTGAAGGAAGATGGAACAATTCAAATTTAAAATTTAAATACAAGTAAAATAAAAAAAATGATAAGATACAAGAGGAGAGAGGCGATACAAAGAGGTGAGCTGACGGTGTAAGGTCACACCGTCACAAGTGTATATCCTCTAATTAACCGACTTCAAAAAAGGAGGAGGTTCTCAATTCGATTGTATGTTTTTTTTTTGTATGTATGTTACGCGATAACTCCGGTATTTGTGAACCGATTTTCATGATTCTTTTTTGTTGGAAAGGGGGTACTTCCATAGTGGTCCCATTTCATTTTGAAGAAAATCATCCACCTCAAAGGGTGGCTGTTCACGCATGAAGTTTCATTTTTGTAAATAGCGCCTAACTTTAATTTAGGAGCAATTACTTTTAGCAATTATTTAGTTGATTTTGCTATTTCTCCAATTCAAGGCGTTTTTCTCTCGATATACTTTGAGTAGTGTCGTAGTGAGAACCTATTTTTATTATCTCCAGTATCAAGTCCCGTATAGTGGCGAACTAGGGGATATTTCAATGAAACTTAGCAAATAGACGTAATTCCACGTACTTTTGAGGTCGGTCTTTTTAATACTCTGTACTGAGATTATTTACTATATATTTTTTTCCAAAAGTGATTGATTCAATACTTTCACTGTTGTGCGGAATACACCAAAGTCATAAGGTGTTACTGTCCCGAATTTCTAAGTTGTCATGCATTACTAGTTTTATATGTATATACTCCCGAACACGTAATGCGAGCCACCTCGCATTTTTGTCGTAAAGGGCTAGAATACAAAAGCAGTGTTATCGTCGAAGAAAAAGTCTTCCCCCGGTTTTGCAAATCCAAATTCCCAACAAGGACTTATGGAAAAGACGTTTAGTATACTAGTTTCAAATTTGTGTAATAGATTTTGATCAATCAAACATTGTTTAAGCTTAGGGCACTTAATACTGAAAATGCGTGGTGTCTCGAATTAAGTGCCCTGAAGTATTGTCATTTGGTGCGATTGCCAGCTGTAATATCGATTTCTATACTCTAGCCAAATTCGATGTAGAATAAATGTCAACAAACAAAAACGTATGATTTTTAGGGTTTTCATCTCAGACTCTTTCACAGTTACTATACAATTTCAATAATTTCCTACGAAATTCAACTAGATTGTGGATAATACTAAATCTTGAAGCCATGTTTATAATGAATATTATTCAACAGAAGTTTCAAATCACCTAAAAATGACCAGTAATTAATTATTTGTAAAACTGTGTCATCCCTAGTGACTTTTTGATTATTTTTTTTAATGTTCCCATATGTATATCTTACTAAAATTGTTACAGTCGTATTATTTAGGTGAGTTCTTCTAAAAGACCAGCATTTATATATATCATGCTTAAAAGTGTATTAAATGTTGCTATTATTCGTATTGGCTTGGTAAGTTTTAAAGTCTATATAAACATTGAAGTGAGAGATTGCAAACATTCGAGTTCTAGTGGTAATTCAAGTTCAGAATCGGAAATAGATGCTGGATGATTTTAAATGTGGTAAATTAACATCAAATAAAATCCTACAATTTTGTTTCTTTTCATCTACCATTACCTACCATATAACAGTAAATATTAATAGGACGCAAAGACTTATTTGTATTCCTAAATCATACGTATCAATAGGTATTTTGTAAATTTTATAATAATTGTCTAGATAAGTATTACTTCTACTTAACCCAATTACTTACTTACCTATTTAAATTCCAATTAAGGGAGCAGGCCGTGGGCAGAGCAAGCCTTAATAATGAGCATTGAAAAAAATGTTCTTTTCCTATGCCATCATTGGTTGCCTAGCAACGTTTTGTTATTAAACATTCTACATCGAATTTGGCTAGAGTATAGCTGTAATATGATCGCATCTTTTTGTTACACCTTTTTTTTTTACTTTATTTTACTTGGTTAGGGAAATAGAAATAAATTACGCTTACATCCTCGCATGTGCAAGTGGTCCCTTTATGCTGGTCGTCGACGTGCCGCCGAAGCAGCTCGTTGGTAATGAAGCCGTCGCCACAAATGGCACAAGATCTACAAACAATTATAAAAAATATAGATCGATGATTCTTGAAGCGGTCAACATCGACTCCAACCTGAAAGACGTTGAAAAAAAATCATTGGGGTCAAGGTAGTGTTGAAATTCTTATTAAATCTTGGTATAGCGTCTGGCACGGTTTGCTAGAAGACGTCGGTTCGAATCCGGCCGGATCGAAGGAATTTTTTCTGAGTGTTCGATCTTTATGTTAATAATTATAACAAACTAGTGGAGTAATTTCACATAAAAATAATTGAATATCAATTCAATAAAAATTTAAATACAATGAATAGGTACATCTCTAGCTGTAAAGGTATATTATAGATTTCTCATAGACGGCCCGATGGCTAAAAAAGTCGTTGAAAAACCAAATACAAAGATACGACGCAAGCATATAGAAAAATTCGTGAGGTCCGCTGGTTCGCTCCGTCGCTTAGTTGGTATAGCGTCTGCCACGGTATGCTAGAAGAAGTAGGTTCGAACCCGGCTGGATCGAAAGAATTTTTCTGAGTGTTCGATCTTTGTATTAATACTTAATAATCTTTGTTTTTTTTAACGCACACACTTGTAACCCCGCAGTAGGGAAATCCTGTAGCGCGGGTGCCATGGACACACACAGATGTGACGATGCGACCTCCTCTATCGTCATCCCGCCTTTTTATCACCTTTGCTCTGGTTCCTGACCACTTATTTTCAAATTTTGAATTGTTCTTTAATGCCTTTGCCTCGTTCAGCGAGTATATAAACAGAAATAGAGACGAAATGTCATTTAATCTGTATGAAAATTATTCCGCCAAATAATTACGGTGACAACTGTGCTCGGATTGGCCAGCCAGAGAAATAGATGTAGGTCATTTGTATGACTTCTCCCGGCCCGGGAATCGAACCTGAGATCTCTAAGTTTAGTTCAATGTATTAGCCGGCTTAAAAAAGGAGGAAATAGGCAATTCTTTAACCGATTTGAATAAAACTTGGCAAATACATGCAATTCCACAAAGTTTTGAGGCCGATTGTTATTTTATTAACAAGTTTGATTATTTTAAGGACAAGAAAGCGATGTTGAGTTTTCGTGTTAATTAAAAACAATCCCTATACACGCATGTGCAACTTCTTTGCACGTACTTGATCTGCCTGTTGCCGGTGCAACTGTTGTTGCCTGAAACGTGTCGGTGTAGCGCCTCCTCGCTGTGGAACTCCATACTACAGTTAGTGCAGTTGACCATCTGTAAAACATTGCGTTCATTTAACAAATTAACTTTTTCATCAAATTAGCTCTTAAATAATATAATTGCATGGCGGCTAACTTGGTTATAATGTCCCAAATAAAACCCACGGGACTGTTCAATTTCCATTATAGCCATGGTTGGTAGAGTTATTTTTAATTTGTAGCGCGACATACTTCCTTACATAGGTCAGGTTCAAGTTCAAGTAAGGATTCGCTTAAAATGTTATCTGTACAGAAACTTAATTGCAATTCGGCCACATACTATTTAAATGCTTACTATCAAAAATTTCTTATGATTGATTTTAATTATTTTCTGTATAAAAATTTCGCAATTATGTTTTTCATGTGTTTGTTTTTTTCGAGTTGTACTATCTATGGAAGAATTAAAAAAGAAAAAAAAAGTTATAAATTTTAATGCTCATTTGTCTTAGAAATCAGAAATCAGAAACATTTATTGTATGAATTGGTAAAATACAGGTGTTACTTACAAGTGATTAGATCTACAATTCTTACCCAAATCAGGCGTACAATGTCTTAAAATTACTATTCAATTAAAATTTATTACAATTTAAATGTCTAAAAATTTAAAAATATAATTAAGTTAGTTATACAATTGTCAAATATTTGATGTCTTTATATAAAATTCGTTAAGATTGTAAAAAACTTTGTCAATTAACCATTTTTTTAAATAAGCTTTAAATTGATCACCATTTAAACATTTCATTTCCATTGGAAGTCTGTTATAAATTCTAATCGCTGTTACATAGGTGCTGCGGTCAAAGATCGTGCTGTTTATTTTAGGGAGGACAAGACGGTCCTTGTTTCTGACGTTAACGGAGTGTACATTAGATATTTTAGTAAAGAAGTTACTGTGATCACGTACAAAAATCATATTTCCAAAATATATATTCCTGTTAAAGTCAGGAAACCCTTTTCTTTGTACAGACTTCTTAGAGAATAGTCTTACTTTTGAGGCCTAACATAAAATACTTATCTTTGAGGCCCAACATAAAATTATCAAAGTTTAAATATCAATCGATGTAATTTATTTTATGTTTCAGGGAACGAGGATCAATCATTCAAAAAGATGACCATTTAGATTTCTTTGCCTGCTGCTTTTGCAAATTTAAAATAATCATTTAAATACACGCCTTACAAATGTACGTACCTTCGACATTGAAGTCAGGCCTCTTGCCGCTATTCTACTGAACCACTACTACTTTGCCCTAATGATAATAAATAATAAAGAGAGGCGTGTTACCTTAGTGTGCATGGTTTTGTGGCGCGACAATTCAATAGTGCCTGCTATAGATTCCCCGCAAATAACACAAGTGACGGGTGTGTGGTTTTCTCGTACGTGATTCAGCTGAGTGCTCTTTGCACTGGAACAAATGGAAATGTGTTTGGGAATCGATTTTAGAATAGAATCGATTTTTATTGCAATGCCCCTACACATAGATACAAAAAAGAAAATACTGATAACAAGCAAAACAAAATAAAAAATAGAATAAAACAAAAAAAAACAACATAAAATAAGACCAAACTGACAAACAGCAAAAAAACAAAAAATAGCAACCCTCATGGAAGAATGGCATAAGTGGAGCTACGTCAAAAGTGTTTATTGCTCCATTAGATACATAAAAATATAACCCAGATCCTCTCCAATTCTCGTAACTCTACCTACATTATTAGTCAATAGAGTTACAAGAATTGGAGAGGATTTTGATGATCCTTTCTTTGTTGGAAAGAGGGTACCTCAGTATTGGTCCCATTTAAATTTGAAGAAAATACTCCACCTGTAATAGTGGCACACTAGCAGTGGCGATTTTCACCGGCTTGCCTAACATTTTCCACGTATAATCAAATACTACATTTTGTGCTAAATTTTATGTGTAGAATAAGTTAACCAGTGAAGTATACTAGTACCTTGTTTGCTAATAAATTGTGTTAAGGGGTAACGTCACGGTTGATTTCCATACAAAATGAATTCGATTTTCGTTACTGCGGCTGTTTTTATAAGCCTGAAATATCGAGTATAAACCAGAAAAAGAGTTCCCCTTTAAGGGCCAACCGTCTCTGGCAACTCATCAGACAAATGGGCCTTATATCACTTTTTATTATTATTATTAGTTTTTGTGAGTTTTTTTAAAAAAGACTGGTGCCCACCGCCGCCTAACAGAACGATATGATAATTGGGGCCGACTCTAGTTTGTCTATGAATTAGAAATAAAAACTACAGTTGCGTGATATGCGTGAGAAAAGTCTTTATTTGCCGCCATTTGGCCAGTCGCAACATGCGGTTCCTAAACACATAGAGAGCTTATAATATGTGTATAGATAAAGCCACTACTGAGAACCACTACTTATTGGAAAGAGGGTACCCTCTTTCCAATAAAAAAAGAATCTTCAAAATCGGTGCACAAATCAAAGAGTTATCGCGTAACATAACGCGATTCGTTCTGTGTACCGTCTAGGCTCTCGGGTTTCTCTCAGAGAAAAGTTTAAGGAGACTGGTATCATGACTGTGGCATCACAGTACATTTACTCAAATATTTTATATGCCCGTAAAAATATACATAATTTCAATAAGAAAGAAGATAGATATCCATAATATTAACCTAAGAGCTAAGTCCAAACTCATGGTACCACGATTTCGTTTAACGAAGGTAAACAACTCTTTTATGGGGAACTGTATACGTTTTTACAATAAGATTCCGGAGCATATATTAAGTTTATCATTTCCTAAGTTTAAAAACTACATTAAAAATATTTTGATCGAAAAATCATATTACAAAGTTGAAGACTACGTGTTAGATGAAGATGTATGGAAAGACGACATGGCTCCAGAATCCACACAAATTTGATTCAAAGTGTATTCCATAGCATTTAAGTTTATTTGAAAAGAGCAATCCCTAGAGTTTCTTGCTCGTTCTTCTCAGGGAGGTCAGCGTAGCGAACGAGCAGAAGCTTAAATGTGACGTTTTCAAGTGTAAATTTATTTTACCTATGGAATAAATAATCTTTGACTTTGACTTTGACATATGCACAAAAAAATACAGCAAAAATTTAAAACCTCCTTTTTTTAAGTCGGTTAAAAAGGGAAACTGAAACTTGTAGCTGTAAATAAGAATTGAACTTACTTGAAATTCCTGCCACAGTGTTTGCAGTCATATTTGAAACCTTCGTGCCACCGGTGATGTTGTTTCGCCTTTGTGCTAAAACAAACAAATTATGGCTAAGTAAATTAAAATTCAGTTCTTTAAGTTGGAAATATGAGGAAGTAGGAATGTTTTTTTTAATTTAAAGTAATATTGTATAAAAAGGAAGAAAGGGAGACCATACTTTAGATGAGAAGACGATTTTAAATATGTTGCTGGAGGAGGAGGAGGCAAACAGCAAAAGATAGGGAGAAATGGAAATCTTTGGAACAGGCCTATGTCTTAGGACAAGCTGAAGGTACCGAGTCAACACATTGAGTAATAATAAATAAGTGACATATAATAAGTACGCATGTCATACAATGTGTTAGATAAGTTAGTAAGTTATCAGCAATAGAGGCTATAAATAAATAAACAATTTTTTAATTTTATTGAATTCCACGATGTTGGACCACCACGATAAGCAATTATTTTTGTGAAACGACCCCACTAGTTTGTTATAATTATTAATACAAAGATCGGATATTATTATTATTATATTAGGAACACCCTTATGGGTGATGTTAGATATAGTGTGATGTTATTATTTTTACATCATGAAAAATTATCTCACTTTAACACAAATTTTTTAATTTTTATTTTTAGTACATTACAGCAACTAATTAAGGTTTATTACTGTATACTCATTGACTTACAAATAATGGACGACGGGTCTAATACAAAAACCACGAAAAAAATGTCCCAAGTCAGCCTATTTAAACGTAGTGACATGTCAAGGAATATGAAAAAGCTAAAACGTTGAATTGAAATTGTAATGTCATCGCAGTACTGTCTAATTTTGCTTGCTTCGCTGTCAGTCGAACAAACGAAGACTAGAGCGTGAATGACGCTCTGTATACGATTTTAACGCCCTATAAGTTCGGACACTTTTTAGCGCGGACCCGACGTCCATATAATTGTAAGTCAATGGTCGTTGTCGATAGTTTTATCGATAGATTGTTGAAGAAGATAAAATTTTGCCAAAAATGACTGAATTGTGAATGTTACGAAAGGTTCTAATGATTACTAATTGCGTTATTGCCGTCTTCATTCTTATTTTGACAGGTGGCCTACTAGTATCGAGATCAAAGTTTATTCATATACATTTTAAAAATAATATAATCTATATTGAACTAAAATGAAAAACTTTAAAATATAATAATAACAATAACGCTCACACTCAACATAGCCCCGCACTAGGGAAACCCTGTGTCGCGGGTGCCATGGACACACACATAGACAACCACAAATTACATGAATATTCCTGGGACCTGGGACCTCTGGGTGACAATCCGGCTTGGTAACCGTTCGGCCACGGAGGCACTTACACATGTCTCCCCTTTGTATTTTCCATAAACATAATTCTAAATATAGTGTATGCATGTATGTATGAACTTACAAAAATTTACAATACAAATGAACTTGCGCTCAATAATTGGATGAATAATGGGTCGAGGATGATTCAGATGATACGAGTTCGGCCAATTATTTCATAAGCGTGACCAATATTCAGTCGATAGTCGATAGAATATTTATCGACTGGAATCACTAGTTGCTCGCAAGCGGGCAACACTTTTGCGCAAAGAACTGTCATTTTACTCTGTCTTCAAAAAGGACAGACTATAGTGGAGTAATTTACTCTCCAAATTGGAGAAAGTCTACTTTATCAATAGAAAAATAAGAGTAAAAATAGATAACCACCTCAGTGACGCCGAGTATATTACTTACGGTGTGCCTCAGGGAAGTGTTCTGGGGCCTACACTCTTTTTGGTCTACATTGATTACTCTGTAAATCATTTCCAAATTACCAAATCTTTGCGCAGACGTCACTGCCATCGTTGTGTATGGACAAACTTGGCAACAGGTAAAAAATCGCGCGGAGAGCTCTTTAGTAACTGAACACTGTCTCCTAAGGCACAGACATTTGTCTAGTTTAGGAGCCAGAGGCCTTAGATTTGTTACGCCTTTTCTTCTCTGTGCTACATATGAGGCTAAGGTGTGTTTTTGAATAAAGATATATTATTATTATTAATTTTCCGAAAATAATTGAATATCATAGTGGTCAAATATCGTGACATTGAATAAAGTAAAAAAATTTCGAATGGTGTTTTTTTAGTTACCTATCCTTAGCGACATTACTGCATTGTCTACATTTAAAATGCATACGGTGTTTCCTCAAATGGTTAAGAAGTTTCTCGCGGCTCGGGTAGAATTGCTTGCACACATCGCAGGCGTGGTTCCCGCTCGCCTGAATTGAAGAGAGATAAAATATGATAATCATATAAAATCATCTTTTAGTCTATAGGACAGGCGTGAGTCTAATATATAGAATAATAGATATGCAAAATAATATGGTTAGGTACGTAGCATAATAATAATCTTTATGTATCAAAAAAATGAGGTATATTTCGTTTCAATCCATTTTCAATAAAATTTAAATAAACAAGTCACTGACCCGACCATAGACGATTTAGTGATGGCCATTTGTAATGCCAACTACAAATCGATTAATTAATTGAATGATTCGATTTGTTGAATTGAGTCATACTAGCGGTTTTCCCTACATAACCTATTAAGCATATTTAAAATTTCCGAAATATTAATTTTAAGTCCTCCTTCAAGTCCTTAAACTTGGATACTCGTTCGATTGTGATTGAAATATTCGATTTACTAATCGATTACAAAAACTTTAATTGAAAGAACCGAATGTTTTGTTTCGTACAGCACTATGCAACCATAGACAAGTGATAGATGTATAGGTGAAAAATAACCTCACTTTAGGACTACCATTTTTCAAATACAATTTTACGATGCTATTCAAATAAATATTATTGGAAAAAGTGATGAGATATAAAGTCGAAATCATCGAAATATAAGTGAAAGTGTTACTCTGTCGATTTATTGAGTGATTGTTTTAAAATTTTAACCAAACAGTTTTGTTTACTTTTTGTTGAAAATAGATTGGAACAGACTATATTACAAAATCGTGATGCTCTGACTATCAAATTAGTATTATACTGCATCTTCCCAATAAGCAATTTTAGTAGCAGTAGACCTCCTCGTGAAAGAGTTCGTCCAAAGACGTACTGCCACCTTAACTATTTCTGTCGCCAAGCAGTAATGTTAGCATTACTGCGTTCCGATTTTGAAGGGTAAGGGTTTGGTGAAATTACTGGCACATGGGACTTGTCAACTTATGTCTCAGGGCGACGGGCGCAGTGGCAGTGCCCCTCAGATCTTTGCGATTTAAAGCTCTGAGTGGCACTGCAACTGTTATGGACAGGCGTGTCGCTTACCATCAGTCGCACGACTTGTTCGTCCCGTCACTTGTTATTATAAAAAAACAGTACAATCACAAGAGATTTTCTATTAGTACAACTTAAAGCAAGAAATAAAGTTTACTTTGGCACCATTGACTTACAAATAAATGGACGACGGGTCTAATACAAAAACCACGAAAAAAATGTCCCAAGTCAACCTATTCGAAATTTAAATTGTAATGTCATCGCAGTATCGCGCTGTCAGTAGAACAAATGAAGACTAAAGCGGAGTTTGGCGCTCTGTATACGATTTTAGCGCCTTACAAGTGCGGACACTTTTTAGCGCGGACCCGACGTCCATATAATTGTAAGTCAATGTTTGGCACACTCAGATGTGGAATATTTTATTCAAATTTAAATGGGACCAATACAAAGGTACCCTCCTTCCAGTAAAAAAGAACCACCAAAATCGGTTCTTAAGTGCGGGAGTAATCGTGTAACATACAAAATACAAAAAAATAAAGTCGAATGAAGAACCTCCTCCTTTTTTGAAGTCGGTTAAAAAAGTTGCTATTGACAATTGGACGTAGTTAAACAAAAAGGATCCAACGCACATCCCGTCACTTTCGAGATATGGCAGTTTGAATTTTACAAGTGTTTCCTACTCTTGTTTTACTTTCGAAACTTATAATGACATGTAACTCCAGAGATATTTATTTATGTTCATATGTTGAATTTTTTTTTGCTGATCTAAGAGGTTAGATGTTAGGGACTGTTTGGTACATATTTTTTGATAATTTTGTGGATTGGATCCTTTTTGCTTAACTACGTCCAATTATCAAATTCAAAACAACTCAGTTAAGCGTGAAACACACCGAGAGCAGGTGCGGGTCGGGCGCAGGTCGGGACCACGCCCAGTGTGTTGTCGTCCATAGAAATACACGGAATTAGACCCGTCGCGGTTCCGACCCACCCGCCCCCGCTATCTGTGTGTTTCACGCTTAAATGTGCTCTCACCGGATTATGCCAAACAGCGTGTTTCTCGAACGCCCTCTCCGTCATGAAGCCTCTATAACAAGTCTCACAGCGGAACCTTGCGTTTTTATAAGCATCCGAGTCCTTCCGCGCTTCGACATCCGCCAGTTGTTGTTCTTTGCTAAGAAATTCGACGTCCACGTTGTATAGTTTTGAAAATCCTGAAAGTGAAAATATTAACCTTAACACTTTTATAAACTGTGTTTAAGGTTTAGAAGCGTTGTTAGATATTTAGTTAGAATGACAGGTTTAAACTTGTAAATTAAGAAGGACAATCAAATTGTATTTTTTAAAATTTAATATAGTGTACTATTGACCTCATAATACTAGAAGTCCGTAGTAGTTCATGTGAATAAAATAACTACTTTGGAGCATTCATTCAATGCTCGAGCAAGGACAAGACTATGCAACCATAGACAAGTCATAGATGTGTAGATGAAAAATAACCTCACTTTTGGACTACCATTTTTCAAATACAATTTTACGATGCTATTCAAATTAATAGTAAATTTCAAGTAAAACTTTAAAGCATTCATTCAATGTCCGAGGAAGGACAAGACAAGCTAACAAACTAAGGAACTAGATGACCTAGAAGACCGACCTAGTCAGTTGACCTATTGGACTAAATAGGATCGCTCCATTTAAGGACCGATCGGCACAAGTCTAGCATATATATACTTCTTGCACTGCTAAAGCCTGGCAGTCCCAATAGCAGCCTAAAAACATTATTGTATTGGACGCGCTGGGCGTTAACCGTCTTTTTAGTATAACTTGTCCATAGGATGCATGTGTAAAGTTTGACAAAATGCCTTGAAAAGAGTAATTTTGACTTCTACATCACAACCTGGTACAACATACGGCCAATGCCCTGCGCTCCTTTTCCATATAGTCATCATGGCCGGGGGTTCGGTGACTATATGATGTCATTTTTAAAACCGAAAGACCAGTGGTTATATTCTTCACTAGTTGGTTAAAAATCAAATACACTAAAATATATCGACTATACCTCATCCCTATGACAAACGTCAAATGAACTGTCACGGGGATCGTCCTAGATTGTGTTAGTATAATACAAGTAATACGAACCTATAAAATCCTCCTCAAACTTCTGATTAAATGGTCGCTTTCTCTTCTGTGATTTCCGTTTACGTGCCGTAACAACCAATTCAGTATCACTGTTCACGTCTGTTTCCAATTCCGTTTCCATTTGTTCCTCTTCCGTTTTTAACTGTTCCGTTTTTATCTGTTCCGTCTTCACTTTCTTCAATTTCTTTTTCGACTCTTTCTTTTTCTTTGTCCATTTTACTGGTTTATCCGGTTCCTCCTTTATATCATCGTTGTCGAATAAAAAATCAACCACAGTTAAATCATCAGTTAACGTATCTTCATTTAAACTGTCTATTTCGTTGGCAGTTAAATGCGTAACGGGTACATATAGCAGTGATTCGTTTTTAACTACGTCGTCGATGAATCGGCTTTCGCATAGTTCTTGTTCGGTTGGCAGATATTCGTGGTTCTTTGTTCTAGTTCTCGTTAAGTCTAGTTGAAAATTTGTGCGATCTATTCTGCGGATGTTCGATGTTGTGATCTGAAATGGCAATTAATAAAGGAATTAATTTTAAACACTGATTACACTATCCGACGTCTAGGGCCCTGCGTCTAGAACGGGCATAGTCCCTAGTTAGTGAGCCCCTTATTACACTACTTTGCAGGGCGCTGATTTTAATTCAAATTTGAATCGACCCGATCGGGTAGCCCATCCGCAATATTATACGCCTCGACTCGGAAAAGACGCAGTTTCCCATCGGGAGAAGCAATCAAAATCAAGCTGCAGGCCCACGAACGTCGAGACCGTCGTACGTGTTACTATCATGGCGCCATCGAAGTTTATAAGACATACTATATAAAAACGAGATTTAAAATGATTTCGCAACAGCGAAAAAAACCTTTTTAATTCCTCCATGGACTGTTTTTTTTAATGATTTTGTTGACTCTTTATTTGTTGGAAAGAGGGCACCTCAGTATTGGTCCCATTTAAACTTGAAGAAAATACTCCACCTGCAAGGGTAGCAAACTAGGAGATGAATCCGGTTTTGCACACTTTCCGTTAAACGATTTCAATAAACTTAAGGAATTATAAAAATGTAATTCCACAAATTTTTGAGGTCGGTTTAATAAGGGTGCCCATTAAACGAAGTTCGCGAATGTGCGCTCTCTGCACCTGTGCTTGTACCGTTAAGTGGACCTGTTTAGCAACATCGGATTATTGAGGGATGTTATGATGTTATTGATTTTTAGGTTTAAAATGAATAAACTTGTTTCAACATGTATGTCTTAAAATTTAAATACAATAAATGTAATTCAATTAAAGTGAATAATGTACTGTAAAATCTGGTATCTAACAGTATACGATCGTTTACGAAATTTGAACTAAATTGAGAAGTAAGAAATCCATTATTAGGATTGTCCTTTCAAAATTATCTGCTTGTAAAATTTTGTACAAACAGATAATTTTGAAAGTTGATAAATTACGTTTGGGAAATTGCGTTTGTCTGCTAGGGCGCTAGGCAAGAGCTAGACTAGCGTGGACCAGCTTCAAAAGTGGTTTCTGGGCGAATCCGGCGCCGGCGCGTGTCCGTGCCCTCCTCACCTAAGTCTCCCGTCGCCCGCTATCATGCCGCGCATTAGTCTGTGTGTGTCCATGGATACAGGGTTTCTCTAGTGCAGGGCTATGAGTGTGTTGTTGTTCTTGCCAATTTGAAAACCATAACCAAAATAGACTTGAGCCATGTGCTAAGTCAGTAATAAGAATAATAGTGCTGTTTATTTTGAAGTTATGTTGTTTATGAACATTTTTGCTTTGGATACAAACAAATCTAAGTCTTTAACCGGTTTCGGTCGCAGCCCTCAGTGACGCTGAAATTCTCAGTTTATCCTCCTATTTCATTTATTTATTAGATTCGTCAACACTATTAAACATGGACATAATATAACGCTGCAGGAATTACTCGAGTGTAAACCCTATAATAGGCAAATACAGCATGCACATATAACATAGCATCAGAAGAGTTTACTGCGTGTTATGTTACATACAAACAAATGGATGTGATTATTCAAAGCAAATAATGTAAATGTGGTCAAATGAAATTGTAAAGTTACAGAATTGTTAGTCAGAGCAGTTATATAATAAAGTTTTAAATTTATGTAATGAAAACAAATCCAATTCAGATGACTTGCATTTATATGTTTTATGTAATTAATTGTATTCACGGAAAATTCGGTTGAAAATAGTAATGGAGTCAACATTAGTTGTGAATTGTTTGATATTAAAAGAACGGTAATTGCTTAGCCTGGCATTGCGACGAGGGATAGAAAACCTTTCTTTCATAACCTTCCTTTACTTCAACTTTTCTCGACAATTGTAGCATGTTCACCTTGGCTATCAATTTCCAATCACTAAATATGTAATAAAAAACAAATTACCACAGGATGTTGCACCCTCAAGTCCTGCAAGAAAATGTGCGTACTTCGACATTTCGCACGGAAGCGTGCAGACTTATTGAGCAGTGCACAGCACAGGACACACAAGTGCTGCGGAAGACCATCTGTTGAAGATACCTGGAAGGTCAAGAGTACAATCTTAAAAACCATGTTATTATTACTTGCTTAATGGCGACCACCAGGCTTCAGTATCAGTTTCGAAGAATGCCTCAGGCTCTACGTCGTAAAATCTTATGAGGACAGATCGAAATCCCTGGGCCTCACTACTCTTTAAGAAAGAAGGGTACGGGGTGATCTAATTGAAACTGTTAAAATTCTTCATGGGTTCTGCAATCTTCCAGACCTTCTCAACTGCTTCAAAAGAACAGTACACTCCAGGAATATCAGGGGTCACAACTTGAAAATTGTCCGAAGGCCATCACTCACCAACACTGTCTACCACATCCTCGGCAACAGAGTGGTTTCAAAGTGGAACAAGTTGTCCGAGGATGTGGTTAATGCTAGCTCAGTGAATGTTTTCAAAAGCCGGCTGGACAGCTGGTTAAAAAAGAAGAATTTGTGTCTTCTAGGCATTGACTTACAAATAAATGGACGACGGGTCTAATACAAAAACCACGAAAAAAATGTCCCAAGTCAACCTATTTAAACGTAGTGACATGTGAAGGAATATGAAAAAGCTAAAACGTTGAATTTAAATTGTAATGTCATCGCAGTACTGTCTAATTTTGCTTGCTTCGCTGTCAGTCGAACAAACAAAGACTAAAGCGTGAATGACGCTCTGTATACGATTTTAACTCCCTATAAGTTCGGACACTTTTTAGCGCGGACCCGACGTCCATATAATTGTAAGTCAATGCTTCTAGGTCTTTAAGTTCTAGTGTTTTGTGGACTTTAACAAAAGGATTCAGAAGTATTTGTGAATTCGTGGACTTTATAAAAATTCAACACAGCTTTGATATAGGCATATCAGCTTCAAGCTGCTCACCTATTAATAATAAATAAATTAAAAAAAAATGCAGACAGTCAATATTGATCAAGATTGCCAATGTTAAGACAGCAGCAAGGTAAACCTTTTAGGAAGTTCTTCGACGAACTGCTGTTGTGGAGAACATACTCGAGGTGAAAAAGAACAAAGATGGATAAACTTTGATGTTGTCTAAAGCATAATATTATCAGGGCGAATAAAATCACACAAAATGTTAATAAAGGGAGGAAACCATTGACTTACAAATAAATGGACGACGGGTCTAATACAAAAACCACGAAAAAAATGTCCCAAGTCAACCTATTTAAACGTAGTGACATGTAAAGGAATATGAAAAGGCTAAAACGTTGAATTTAAATTGTAATGTCATCGCAGCACTGTCTAATTTTGCTTGCTTCACTGTCAGTCGAACAAACGAAGACTAAAGCGTGAATGACGCTCTGTATACGATTTTAACGCCCTATAAGTTCGGACACTTTTTAGCGCAGACCCGACGTTCATATAATTGTAAGTCAATGGAGGAAACACATAAAGAAGGGATTTAAGGTTCATAGGATGGGAAATACAGGAATTAAAAATGTAAAATTATACTATGACAACTAGTTCGTAGCTCTAAAAATTGATTTTCGAAAAATTGTAAATACTTATAATTTAAATGAATAAATATGACTATGAATTGATGATTCACAGATTTTTAATTCACACCATTAAAAAAGTGGATGATCTTCATTTTATCACAGTTAACAAACAATTAAAAAAAAACAATTAAAATAAACAAGTTCCGTAAACAATATTCACCATTTACTTTCGAAAACACGCCATATGTACAATATCCGTATTACCACAAAAATATTCGCAAAACATGATTTTTGGTGTATTTAAAATATAACAACAACGCTTACCGGGGTCCCAGTTAGGTCTCCAAAGGTTTGTGATAGATTACACTCGTGTAAATTAAATAACTTTATATCAGTGTTTAGGCATACTCTACACGCAATTAATTCTAAAGGGTCATCGTTATCGTCTATATTCTCACAGTCCACAGTCTCTATTTTGACTGTACGTAGTGGTCTCATTGTGTTTATTATTAGTTTTTATTGATAAATCGTCTTATAAGCTAAATTCACTGCTGATTCGACCATTTTGACGCCTTCTTTCACCCTTCTCTCCTATATTGATTTATGTCAAAGTCGCTGTAAGCTTGACGTTTTTCTTTTTAATTTAACTTTTATATGACGTAACGAACGTCCTTGTTTGACGTTTGGGTTCACGTTTGCGAAGATTGTATTTTATTTGAGAATAAATTATCATAAACTATTACATCGAATATGGTATCCTCAAATAATATTTAATATTTCACGTAGATATATTCGAATACCCATATACATTATGTCCTCAATGCACAAATAATAATTTGCCATCGAAATTAGGTGGTAGGTAGAGAAAATTAATTTTAACCTGAAAATAAGCCGAAACTGTCAAAAAACACAACCTTAAAAGTAGTATATAGTTGTAATGTTTTGTTTATACACAAATTGTTCAAACATAGGAAAGTCGAACAAAAATTTATTAAAGATTAAATGTTTTTATAGTTGTAACAGCTGTCGTAAATAATATTAACATTACAAAGTTAAAAAAAGTAATTCTTAAAATTTATTTTGCCGCTATAATTTACACTTAAAATTTTTGATAATTTGTGTTAAAAATGTCCGAAACGCTAAAACTAAATCTGCAATTCGGTGGCGGAGCTGAATTGCTATTCGATAAAATAAAAAAAAGAGAAATAGAGCTTCCGAACTTAAAGAAATATTATCCCGAGAGTGCAAATGAACGATGGACAATACGCGAATTATTACTTTGGATTAAGGATAATCTATTGAGGGAGAGACCAGAATTGTTTCTACAGGTATTGTACATTGTAGATTTGTTTCGTAATTTATTTATACTACTATGTAACTTAATCGATTGGTAATTATAAATATAACACTATGTTAATGATAAAGTGGTAATATTATTGAGTTACTTGTACACCTCATGCCATAAAAATGTCCCAGCTCACACCTCGCCTCATGTCACACCAGTTCGATTTCAACAAAATAATGCAACAATGATCCTGCGCTGCCCGCTTTGTAGCTGATCTTACATCATATAATCCTACTGCCATAGTACTAAATAAAATTAGCATTTATTTATACTATATCATAACACTTAAGTTATCCAATTGATTGATACCGTCAAGTAATGAAAATGTGCTTAATATTCTCTGTCTGTTAAGTTACTGCTGTAGTTGCAAACTTTCTTATCACTACCTCAGTTCATTTGAACTAGGACATTGTACCAAGTCATTTTTTCAAAGCTTATTTGTCTCCCTCAAGCTTATTTGTCCTATCCAACACTACTGTAATGTACAAACAGAGTATAAGTCTAAGTTACAGTCAGATAATCATTTATTGAGTAAAATTTTTTTATTAATTTCATTAAAACTTAATTTTTTAAGCTACTGCTCGTTCACTACGCTGACTTCCCTGAGAAGAACAAGCAAGAAACTGTAGGGGTTGCTCTTTTCAAATAAACTTAAATGCTATAATATAAATACACTTTGAATCAAATTTGTGTGGAATCCTGGGGTCGTATTCCAGAACTGTACTCAATGCTTAAGTCAGGATTTGAGCAGACTTGAGTATGATTTCAAGCACTGGAAATACGACCCTAATGGCAAGGACTTGAGTATGATTTCGAGTGCTTTAAACCATACTCAAATCCTGACTTGAGCATTGAGTAGAGTTCTGGAATACGACCCCTAGACTCATGTTGTCTATCCATACATCTTTATCTAACACATAGTCTACAATTTTGTAATAATTGACTTTTCAATTAAAATACTTTTAATGTATGTTTTAAACTTAGGAAATGATAATCTTAGTATATTCTCTGGAATCTTATTGTAAAAATGTATACAGTTCCCAAAAAAAAATTTTTTTACTTTAGTTAAACGAAATCGTGGTACCTTGACTTTGAACTTAGCTCTAAGGTTAATATTATGGATATCTTCTTTCTTGATGAAATTATGTATATTTTTACAGGCATACAAAATATTTGAGAAAATGTACTGTGATGCCAAAGTCATACACAAAAAGTACTTGGAAATTGCTCTGTAAAGCCTGTAGTTAGTTTTTTGAGATCCATCCATATACTCTGAGATTTAATTTTACAGTAAACAACATCACTCTTCATGAACAGGTTAACAAGGCTCTTTTTGCTTTGTTGTTTATTTTTTAATTGGTGTGGTGATTTTCCTATTTCAGGGTGACTCCGTAAGACCAGGCATCTTAGTGTTAATAAATGACTCGGACTGGGAGCTCGCCGGGGAGCTGGATTATGAGCTAAAGAGTAACGACACTGTAATGTTCATATCCACTTTGCATGGAGGATAGAAATATATATTTTAAGATTTACTTGTTGTTTCATTCTACATACCATTACACCTGTACTTGAAGAAAGTGACTTTGGACTTTCAGTAGCTGTGGTTTCTGATGTATGTTACGGGGAGCCTCTAAATAAAAGAAGGAGTACCCTTGTAAACAAAATTTATTTGGGCGCGGTTCGTTATTTTAAAACCCAACGGTTATTCACTGAACTTTTGCCTTCCTACGACCAGCAGCTGGTACTCCCCTGGCTGTTCCGCCGAAGTAACGTCCGGGGTTGAAGTAACCAGGACAGGACCGTCCGCCGAATAGATGTCCGGGGCACGGTGTCGCTCTCTGGGCTCAGGCCAGCCGACGAGGAGGACGGTAATAAGGTACCGGAACCTCGGACCCAAACAAGTGGGTTTAAAAAACAACGATTTAAATACTTTAAATTACGAAAAAAAATTAACTTTGCGGAAATCGCTATTAGAAGAAAATGCGCGTGCGTCTCTCTTCAAGATAGATTTTAGAGTGAGCCGTCGTCCAAGCGGTAGCGGGACAGCGGCTTGCCTGATACCCCGCAAAGGGGGCGAGGAACCGAACCAGTAGTCGCCTATAAAAAATGGCTCGCGCGCATTCCTCGTTCGATATCTCTAAGTATACGTTCCACTGTTGGACACGGGACTCTTCCGAATACATCCTAAATAAAATAAATAAAATATTATTAATTTACTACGTTACATGTACCATGTGCTTTGTTCACTTGCATCGTTTCATGCTGAGGGCGTTCTCAATCTGATAAGAAATGCATGCAGAGCAATCTCTATGAACAATTTTCCCATTGATTCACCACCGTAAGTTATTTGTATTCAACATGGTGCCCCTTAAGCTCAAAATAAAGGTATAAACCGATATATTTTTCATACATACAATTATTAAAATAAATACATTGAAAAAGTCGTCGGTACAGTCATGCACATAAGTGTTACACATTGAATGAATATAATGCAGACTGCATTATATTCATCATTGAATATAATGTTCCCTTGAGCACTAATTGATAAAACTTATTCAAATTATACAAGGATTAAAACACAACTCCGTGACTGTACGTCGACTTAATAAAAGGATAAGCATTTTTTAAAACACATTTATGGTAATAGTATTTTTAATTTATTTTTTATTTTTTTTACAATACCAAGTGACTTGACGAACAAGTCGTGCACCTGATGGTAAGCTGCCTGTCCGTAACAGTTATAGTGCCACTTAGAGCTTTAAATCTCAAAGATCTGAGGGGCACTGTCCCTGCCCCCGCCACCCGTAGACATAAGTGACAAGATCCATGTGCCTTTAATTTCATCATTTCGCTTGTTACTGTTTTTTTTTTGTTATATTTGAGGTCATGACACATTGAAGTTTTTTGTTGAAAAAGGAACTTTTCGGTTTTACAGAAATTGTTTTCTATTTCGATTTACGCCAGGCGCCATCTTCTTAGCATAATGGAAACTACTAGAAAAATACCATTGTGTGACGGATACTCTTGAATAAACCAAACAAATGTTTCAGAAAACAACCCTCATAAGCAAATAGAGGGACGCAGTATAATAACGTCACGTAAGGGTGCACATGGGGTTAGGAATGTCAATCGACACCCGTGATGCGGTGTCATAAAAACGCGTGGCTTAATAGGATGACTTGAAGGGCGGGCGAGGAATGAAATTTGAGGTTGGTTGTGTGTTTTTTGTTATGAAATCAGTTTTACAAAATTGGTTATATTATAATAAATTTTTTCATAGCATATTTTATCGAAATATTTTTAAATCAACAACAAAACTTTAACACGTTCAGCTCGGGGTGCACCACCGGTCGAGCACAGACAATTGGACCATCAGGCGGGCGCTATGTACCACTGGTGGTCACACAACACTTGACTTTTGGTAAATTAAGAAACCCAGACCGTCTTGAGAGAAAGTGCTAAATGCATCTTTCCCGCTCTATAGAACAGTCAAATTTTCGTAGTGTCACTCAGGAGTGCGATACTGTGTGAAATAGTAAAAAAAATTAGGGTTAATAAAAGTATTTATTTGAAAAAAAGACCTAGAATAAATGTACTTCATAAAAAAACTGGAATAAATAAATCAATTTTTTTTCTGATACATTGTATTATTATGTATGTATCTTATTAGGTACCTATGATTATTAGAATACAAGAACACAAGATATTTATTCGTTGTACAATGTAATTAACAATGCAGGTCTTATAATATATTATTTATTAGATCGTACATTTCACCAAAACTTGGCATGTGAATATTTTATACAATGATTATTTCACTTTAGAAGTAGCATTCATTAAAGTTAAATCAATAGTAGAAATAAACTACAACAATTGGAATTTAACCAGAAAATAAGATGTCAAAAATATAACATACAAGAAAAAACCAAATATAAAGATACGACCCAAGCATATAGAAAAATTCGTGAGGTCCGCTGGTTCGTTCCGTGGCTTTGTTGGTATAGCGTCTGGCACGGTAAGCTAGAAGACGTCGGTTCGAATCCGGCCGGATCGAAGGAATTTTTTCTGAGTGTTCGATCTTTGTATTAGTAATTTAAAGTTATCAAGTAAAAATCGTTTCTACATGACTTTGCTGTGATTCCGAGCTTACAAGCGGAGTACAGTTTTCGTCAGACATATTTTTATGTATACACGAGTTGGGTTTTGAGGCGGGAATCGCGCAAAAATGCAGACGTGTTTTTACTATTTATTTTTTATTTACTCATTCCGCCTGACAAGTCTTTTGGTTGACGGGGTGATGATGTACCACCGGCGGTCACGTGAAAATTTTTCCCGCCATACCACAAATTATGGTTATTTTCACAGACCATTTATATACTATTTTGATCCCGGTCTGGAACGTGTTAATGCCTGAGATTCGACAGAAGTCTTACTCTTATGTTATAACAGAGTTTTTATTGACAAACCTAAATTCGTAACGGTTACAAAGTTTCCATAACGATGCGTGTATAGATTCAGAACCTTATTTTTTGTTAAAGTATGTAAGGACACTGAAATTATTAAATCAACTATCGTATTGAGAATTCTTTATACAAAAAATTTCATCAATCATCAATTCCTTGCTTTATGTTATATTTTTGATAGAACATTTTAACTTAAGGCTCGTGAGACGTGCCCGCGACCGACGACCATTGGCCGTTAGACTTGCAGCGATCAGTCGTCGCAAGTCGCTTGTGACTACTGCTTTATAAATTAATGTTATTAGATTATTACATAATTAATTAAAATTATAATAATGGACCCAGATAGGTTAATTGATGCAGTTCGTAATCGCCGCAGAATATTAATTGGATGAATAAATCTCCTTCTGCTTATCCTTCCTACGGCACGGACCCGTAAAACGGATATTTCCAACAAAAAGTTTTGATATTATATCCATTTTCCCTGTAGATACGATAATTATTCGCAAATTCACTAAGCTACCGGCCGGTCGCCGGTAGTGTTATGTCGCTAGTCTCCCGCATGCTGCACTGTACTTCGTTGTTAGAAGTCGTTGCGAGTCGTTCGACGCGACCGCAGTCGCAACACATCACCGGTACACTGCACGAGCCCATAGCTTATTAGAAATTGATAAAACTGTTTCAATTTAAAATAGAACTAATAATTACCTATCTAACTTTTTTATATTATAAAACCGAACTCAAAAGATTGCTTATTCTCTTTTGCAGTGTTCGTTACATCTATTTACCAAGTTTTATTCCAGTTGACGGAAAGTGGGTGAAATCTAATAAACCGGATTCACCCCCTAATTTGCCACACTCGGAAGTGGAATATTTCCTTCAAATTTGAATGGAACCAGTATTCAGTTACATCTTTTCTAATAAAAAAAAGAGTCATCGTAACTTTTTTTATAAAAAATGGACCTCAAAAGTTTGTGGAATCACATTTATCAAGTTTTATTGAAATGGGCTACCGGAAAGTGCTCAAAACCGGATTCATCCCCTAGTTTGCTACCCTTACAGGTGGAATATTTTCTTCAAATTTAAATTGGACCAATACTGAGGTGCCCTCTTTCCAACAAGTAAAGAGTCAACAAAATCATACAATATTGAGAACCTCTTCTTCTTCTTACTTTTTTGAAGTCGGTTAAAAAATTATGCACATGGTCGATTTGTCGCGACAATTATATTTTCTTTGCTCGATTCATGAAAATATAAAATGACAATAAATAGATAAGTAGCATAAGAGCCACCTTACCTATTCCTGCCGCCAAGCAGTAACGTGAGCATTACTGCGTTCCGGTTTGGAAGGGTAAGGGTGCTGGTGAAATTCCAGGCACATGAGACTTGTCAACTTATGTCTCAGGGTGACAGGCGCAGTGGCGGTTGGATCTTTGCTATATAAATCTTTGGTGGCATTCTAACTGTTATGGACAGACGTGGCGCTTACCACCAGACACAGCACGTGCTCGTCCTATCACATGGTGTCATAAAAAAATGCGAGTTCGAAACAATTTATTCTACTGGAAAATATGGGTTTAATATCAAATCCCACGTATTAAATATGATGACATTTTATATAGTATTTTAACCCCGTGTCAGACTGTGGCCTTCTGATGTCACGCCACTGTAATTGGCTAAACTCTGACGCGTCGGGGTGCATGTCAAAAACTGGAGCACAGTGACGGATTAAGGTTGTTTATTCAAGGGCCCTTTATTGGTTACATATTAATTTTCAATTAGGTGAGATTCTGGATAAAAGCAGGCCTATCTTTAATCTAGTGAGACAGAGTTGGTCAGTTGAGTCCTTCTAAGAGAAGGGAACAGTAGGTGTTTAATAGTAGTAGAACTCGTGAAAAGTGCGTTCAGGGAAGTACTGCCACCTTACCTATTTCTGCCGCTAAACAATAATGTCATGGCAAAAGGCGCAAAATAGAATATCTTGGTCTCGTGATCAGGAACGATGGATACATGCCGCTACAACTGATAATGATGGGCAAAGTGCAGGGAAA